AGCGTTGACCTTCGCCGAAGAGGCGTCGGGCGTCGACGAGCGCCTAATCTGTCTCACTGGATCTACCAAGGTTCCCGAGCCTTTGCGTCTATATCACATATCAGAGTGCACGCACGCTGTGTTTAGCACCTGTTATCCCCCGCCCCCTTCTTCATCACGCGCGCACGCACACTCACGCACTCACACACACACACACACGCGCGCTCTCGCGCGCGTAGTCTCTCTTTCTCCCACGCTCGCATTATACCGCGCCACGCGAACTTGAAGCTTGAAGGGGTCGCACGATAGTGAACGGGGTTAAGGGCTGCGGCAACGATGTTGGCGGCATTAGTGCTTTAACGCGTCAGAACGCACTCTAAAAGGGGTCAATGAGGGGCAGGGTTATTAATAAGATTTCAGTGGGTAAAAATAAATTTGCGCGCTGTTCCGCTTGAGATGACGAGCGATGAGAGAGGAAGGAGGAGACCAATACTCGGCAAGGTGGGGGAGAGACGACGCTTTCTTTCGGAATGCGTCTGACGGCTCTGTCATCGTAATACTGAGATCCGATCGGTCAATGCGAACGATGGCGACTCCCGGATATTTTCGTTGAGTAGATATGCCGTAGGCCATTGCACTTTCTCTGCGATTTGCTTTTTATGACGGCGGTCAATATTTCTTTGTTTAATTGATTGCTACGATCCTCCTCAATGTCAATTTGCTCCTTATAATTATGTAATTCTGTCGGGTTTTTACTAAAGCTTTTGTATAGATGACTCATTAATTGCATTGACGGTGTTATATATTTTTTCGAATAACTCGTTAGATATTGGTTTCAGTTATCTGGTTATTGTACTGATAAGTTCTGTATTTTATAGTTCTATAGATCTATAGTTATTAGCAGCTTGGCGTAAATGTTTTTACTTCTGATTCTATTCTATTGTATAATACTAGAGAATCTACTAGTAATACTATCTAATGCAACTATTTATACTATTTATTATAATACAAACCACATTATTAATAATATTATAATAATATATGTTCAACTTTTAAAGCAACTGTTTACAAAATTATTGTTTTAAACAGTATTTATAATTAAATTATCTAGCCTTTATATTTAGAAAAAAGTAATTAAATTGATTAACAAAACCTTATGAAAAAACGGAAAATTAAAATAATAAATTGCATAAAAATTGAATGTTTGCCCTCGTATTTAATTTAGGAAGCATATCAAATATTTCATTGTTAATATTCTCTTTAAAAAACTTTTGAAAAAAATACCTAGCTTATTGATATTTATTAAGATGCAAAGTTTAATCTATTAATAAAATGAAAATTAAATTAGATTTTAATTATCTTTTTATCATGTAATGTCATGTTTTTTTTCAAAGATACAAACATTATTAGATTAACTACTTTATTGTAAATTTATTAGTAAATTTACACATCATGAAACATTCAATAACTTTACACAAAAAAAAAAATAATATAGATGAATGTGGAAACACATAATTAAAAATTATTTGAAATTCATCTAAAATATCGATATAAGATTAAATAGCAGTGATTATATTGTTATTTGTAATGTTAAATTAATAAGTACTTTCACTAAAGTAATAAAAAAGAATAAAGTTATTTAATCTACTGTATCTATATTACAAAAATTATATTGCAAAATTATCACACAAATATCGTTATTTTATTAATAAAATAATTTTATTACACAATACATTATTGATTATAAAAATAACCCCGTATGCATAAACGAAATTTATGATTTCGTTCATAACAGTACTATTAATTGATGTATATAAATAGAACGATAAATTTATGCTTTATTTATCTAAATATTCATAATAATATTAAAAACATGGACTAAAAAAATTATATTATATTTGACTACAATTAATTATTAAGCTACGCAATTGTTTATTTAATTATTGTTTCTTACTAGAACTTTCAATAGTGTAATTAAAAGCTGCTTTAGATCAATGACTTTTAAACATTTGTATTAAGAGTTATAGTTAGTTATTAATATTCAATGCTTGTTTTTTATTGATATAATTATAATATAAAATTGTTTATAAATAATGTTTATTAAAATGCTGTAATTGGCAACTTTTTTTTTTCACGAGCAATTTTATTTTATGCCACTTGCAATGTATATTTCAATATATTAAGTTTTGAACACAATATAAATGTAATTATAATAATAAAATGAAATTTTCTATAAAAAGCATCATTTGATTGATATATCCTATTTTATGTAGCTGATTGTCATTTAATTACTTGAGAATAAACTCCTTTACCTCTTACGTATAATCAATACAAAAGACTAGGTTAACGAAAAAGACTTTAATGTGTAAAATACTTTAATATATGACAGAGGAACAAATAAATGATGAAAATTACAAAATAAAAGCCGAGAAGAAAGTTTATTCAAGTGTGTTGAAAGTATAACTACTACTGGTTCATTCGTAAGAATAAAAATAAAAGACTTCGCGTATATATGTGACGGAGCTGAGCAGTTCAAGAAACAAGTGTGCAAAAAAGAGGTCAAATTTCACGTGTATATTTGAGCTACAAGATGTAAAAGTACTTTAAAATATTTGGAAATAATTTCATAAAGCCTTAAATCTTATTATGAAATTTTACGATTTATCGCCGAATGGTCGATGTAGTTAACATAAATCCTAATGTTTGTGTATACCATTGTATACTTGTGTCAATGTATATTTAATTTGATCAAATACTTAAAAAATGAAGATACATTCATCTATGCAAATCAACATATAAATAGATACATCTTATGTTTTTGCTAATTGAACATGCATAATTAAATTTCTTAATTGAGTATATAATAATTTTTACAGAAAAAAAAATTAGTAATATTTTGTTCGAATTTTTTCGAAAAACTTAAACTGTGTATCTTATATTTAAATTTATATTTCATGGTTTATAATTTATTGATTTACTGTGTATCATCCTTAAATGAAACAACTGAAAATAATAATATATATGAAGAAGAAATTCTAAATTACCGGGACTGAATATAATAAATTACATATGATTTTGTTATATTGATTTATGAAGAAAATATTTCCAACTATGTTAAATAAAATATTCTAAATTGTAACACTATTCGTTGTATTTTATTGAAAATAAGGAAATATTGTATTACGAGTTTGTGAAAAACTAGTGCAAATAAGTAAAAGCATTTACTAAATTTGAAATGTATGGCCAGAAATATTAGAATTTATTTAAACGTTATATGAATAAAAGAATAAAACTCAATATCTAATCTTCAATACAATCGTGAGAAATATTTTGGCAGTTGAAAAGAGTTCCCTCGTAATAAAGGACATTTTTGCATTTTCACTATACAACGAAACTTAGCTATTCATACATTTAACGGGATGGATTTTCAGAGAGGTCTGTTTGAATTTAAAATACAAGAGAGAAAAGTGAAAAGTGCAATGCAAACACAGTGTGAGAGTGAGAGGGAGAGGGAGAGAGAGAAAGATAGAAAGAGAAAACGAGCGGGAGAGGATTTACGAGACTGTAAAAGACGTATAAAATTGGATATAAAAAAGCACATGCCTGCGCGTACATGAAAGTTCCCTCGAGAATTCGAGCAGAAGGGCGCGAGGGTGTGCGTAACAGACGGTAGTGAACGCAAGCCCATCGTGGGAGCGAAAGGACAATAACACAATGAAAGTCCCAACTCGGTGCCAGAGCTTTCTTTTTGTACACTTATGATAGAAGCTTTATCTTACGACACAGCGATGCGCGGGAGCACACGAAGACCTCCTTCGTCACAGCTCGGCCCTTCGAGGCAACGTCGTCGACATAATGCTTGACCGAAGCGTACGTACGCGCGCGCATACACACGCACGACTGAGGAAAATACAGCCAGGAGAAAGGGTGACGAGGAGGGTGGAACAAAATGAGATGGCGAGGGAAGGAGGGAGAGAGGGTGATAGAGAGAGAGAGAGAGAGAGAGAGAGAGAGAGAGAGAGCGAGAAATAGGGAGGGAGGGAGGAAGGGAGAGAAAGAAAGAGAGCGGGAGCAAAGGTGGGCCGACAGATGCCCAATAAGGATGGAGGACTACTGGCCTAGATATCGAGTGGATTGGTCGTACGACTTTCTTTCTCTCCCGCCCTCTCGCCGACCGTGTTTTGCGTTCCCTCCAGAAAAGCGCGAGGGCGCAAGCTCTACAAGCCCTCGTGCTGGTCTTGCAATAGTGGCGGTGGTAATGGCGGTAGTGACGGTGGTGGTGGTGGTGGTGGTGGTGGTGGTGGTGGTGGTAGTAGTGGCGATGATAATGGTGACGGTGGTGGTGGTGGTGATGGTAGCAGCGGTGGCGGCTTGAGGACGCGCGCACGGTCCCACCACCAAGCGAGAGGGCGAATATCAGCGCAAGGGGTCGCGCACAGCTAACGCACACATGCGCGTGACTCCTGTGGAGTCTTTACCCCACCCGTTCTCCGCCACGAATAACTACCCCGTTGAAGGGAGGTGTCCACTGACGTGCGTGCGTGCGTGCGTGATTGCGCATCCGACCGGAAACTTTTATGCACGGAGGTATTTTATGCATCGGCATTAGTTATGAAGCTGGCGAGTAGAAGAATTGATGCAAGGTTTAGGGTGCTGGAGTCAGAATAATTGAAAACGCCGCAAGGATGAGTAGACGATGTAGAGATCCGGGTTGTTTTACCGTGTCTTCGCTAGCGCGAGGAGGTTTGCAGGGAGAGAGGACGTGGAACGGTAAGGAAGGGTGGGTCGAAGTGGCAGACGGTACGTATCGGATAGGCATGAAGAACGGGAGGGCGTACGGCGCGTAAACCGTTAATCGATTTTTAGCGAAAGGCTGTAGCCAACTGCTCATCAACCGGGAGGAGGTAAAGTTGCTCTAGCGGCCTGATCTTTTGTTTTCGATATGAAAAGCAGTCGATTGAATGGCAAAGCTCGCAGGATCTATTGTTTAACCGACATTCGCCGTGACGTCTCGTTATTACCTCGTGTCCAACAGCTTCTGCCGCGGCTTCGTGTAGGCGCGCTGATACACAAGGTAGGCCGGGCTTGCTTTTAAAATGTTCGGCTCCTTTGTCTCAGCACCCTCTAGGAGAAGTAACGAAGAAAGGTTGACGCTACAAGAGCCCATCTCTTATTCTTCTGTTAATGCTCTTTTTGCCCCTCTTGTCGGCTTTATCTACACTTTTATCTTAAGCTCGATTATTTCGTTTTCCTTTCTTTGTTTGTGTTTTTGTTTTTTCACTAGTGAGACATCGGCATTGTTATCATGTATTCGTTACACAAGTTTTCCGAGCATTTCGAAGCGCATGCGAACAATCATTGAAGAAGATCGTTAACGTTCTATAACGGGGGATTACGAAACCTTATTTTTATTCTTGATTAGGTAAATTCGGTACAATCTAAGAAATTAAATAATAAGCAAATATATGCATTTTTAACATAAAGGCACCTTCGCAATTCTACACTCCCGAAAATTTACGCGCATGGACGATTTAAAATAAGAAATAGAAGAAATAAGTAGGAGAAACGAAAAACCATTAAAGACTATTTTTAACAAAAATTTGGAAATTACCGATTATTTTAACCAACATTTTCATATCGAATAAAGCTTAATGGGAAATAAAAATGAATAAAATAATTTTGTTACTCTAGGATGACGAATTATTGGGTATTCCGTTATTCCTTAATCAAACGTTACACATTAAAAGAATGTAAACTATTTTATCACAGCATAGAAATTAATATTCATGAATATTTAATACATTTTTACTTTAATGCTACTTTTCATTATACGTACGTAGAAAATGTAAAATTTTTAAAGCATTAACTCTACTTTGTATTATAATCGCTTATAAAAATAATACAAAAAGCAAATGAACCATGCGCATATAAATTATTAATTGAAAACAAATATTGTCACGTGCATATCACGTTATAAATGTTCAAATTCCGTCGAACTATAATCGAGTCGAATGGTAAAGTCATTAAAAGCAAGGGGAAATATTTACAAGGTAATTTTACTTCAACGCGTCGAAATTCAACGTTATCGTCAAATAATACACGGATGCTCGATTTTTCGGTTCGACTAACACATTTCTTCCGAATATTTGCCAACAAACTAATCGTTCCAGCGCAGCAGCCAACTGCGAGAGCGGAACACGAGCACACACGGTGCACTTGAAAAAGCGCGCGCGCGATTGTTTTCTATGGACACGAGAGTCGCGAAGCGGCTCTCTTCCGTGATGTTTGTCACACGGGTGAGACAACGACGACGACGACGACGACGACGACGATGACGACGACGATGACGATGACAACGACGACGATTCGGTGGGCATCGATGCACATGCGGCGCACCAATACTCGCTCGCCCTTTTCGCTCTCGTTTTCGACTCGCCGCACGGCGAGCTGGCCAACGCTTAGCATCGACGAAACGCTTAGTTGCAATTACGAAATACGTGAAATATCTCAATGCGACGGCGGTCGTGGCGGTGGTGGTGGTGGGGGTGGTGGTGGTGGTGGGGGTGGTTGTGGGGGTGGTGGTAGCGATAGCGGCGGCGGCGTCGATGGCGTCGACTACGTGACAATGGGACGAAAATAAGAATCAAGTTCGCATTTGAACGTCGCGGGCCACATGCTCGTCGTACGCGTCCAAGTCGTTCGCCGGTCGAGGGATATGCGCGCGCGCTATTTTCGATGAGCTTTCTCGCCCTTCTCTCTCTCTTGCTTTCTCTCTCTCTCTCTCTCTCTCTCTCTCTCTCACTTTATTTTCCCTTTTCTTTCTGGTTACTATATTCTAGTGCGAATTTTAAAGTCAAGACAGTTACGACCAATGGTCAGTCGAAGTTTTTCTCCCCTCGAGAATTTTTGAAGACGGACGCAGATGGCAACTACGTGCTCGATCGATCGATGGATGGCACATAAAAGAGCGTTCGGCTGAGAGAGGGAGAGGATGAACGCGAGTGAAAATACTATAGAATCCTCCCTGGCTCATTTATATATATATATATATATATATGCGCGTGTGTGCGTGTGTTGTTTCTTTGTTTGTGTATATTCATATATATTCACGTATGCATAAATTCATGCTAATACTCACTTCTTATTAAACTTTATTGCTTTCTCCCACCCCTATGCACGCATATATCATACTTCTATTTTGTTCTTAGAATCTCATAGGCTGTTTGGACACGCGACATAGAAGGAAAAGGGAAGAAGTCGTTCGGGCGGATAATACGAGAGTTACGTTTAAATGAAGAAAAGCCATTTGGCCTAGATTTTCCCGAGCTCCCCTGACTCGTGCGTTAACGTTCGCCTTCGTTCCCTCAATTGGGCGTGCCAGGGTTGCTCGCCCCATTATGCGGCAGTTTGTCGTCTCGTATTAGATACGTTAATTCGATGTAAAAGAGTGGCGATAAAAGGAAAGGGAGAGAAAAAGAGTGGCACTTGTGCCGAGTCATCATTGCGGCTCGTTGCGCGCTCAACAGACCACAATCACGATAATCATTCGTTCGCGCGCGCTTAATGTGCGCACAATCACGTACACGGAGTCAAAAAATAAACACGAACGTGAGGTGGAGGAGAATGGTAGCCAAAATAAAAACAAGTATATGTATGAGACACGTCGCGCTGAAGGGGCAAAACTATCGCGTTCGCTCAAACAAAGGTAGGGCGTGTGCCTTTTCTTCACTCGCTCCTTCTATCCTTATCACCATCTTTCTCATACTCTCTCTCTCTCTCTCTCTCTCTCTTTCTCTTTCTCAATCTGTAGAAATGATAAATGACATATGCAGCGAGAAACGCACATGTGACAGTTTTAACTGTAAAACAAGCAAACAAATAAACAAAGTACAGAAAAGAAAAAAAGCGTAAACTAAAATATTCGCTCTCATATGACCAAAGGAAAAAAGTTGACCGAGTGGAGGTTCAATCGATAGTATAAAAATTGCATCAAACTTTTCCGCTTCGCCGGTTCGTATAATTGTTTGTTTTGCTATTTATTCATAATGCTGCTGTACGGAAGGTCATTACTTTTATGAGGGGTTCATTCCGAATGTATCGGGCATAAAAATTTACCGCTACTTGTAAGAGAGAATATCAAAATTAAGCCACCGACGTTTATTGGGGATAGCAACATCAATACAGTTTAATGTTTGCACGATTTCTTTTCAGATTTCAATAAACGGTGATATGTAAAAACGTGGGGCAAGCTTAAAGGTTCTGTATTATAAAGTGCCTCGTAATCACATATACTTTAATCAATTGTATAATTTTGTATAACACGTGTGTGCATATTGCCGTAACAACTCCAAACTATCGTTGCAAAGAATTAATCGACTTTTTGCTTCTGACATTATACGAGCATCGAAACATTAAAAATTACGCGAGTTTGTTTAACTAAATAATGTTTGCACGTTTTTCTCGATGGACTTCATTAATGTCGATTAATCGTGAAAGGCTTTAAAGATACGAACCCCAACAGGTCTTCGGTGTACATGGTACACACGAGTCACTGCATGCGATCCTTGCGTCGGCCTTAATAAGTCCTGTCAGACGCGCACACTTGTTGCGAAATTTTGAGTTATCACGGTATGCTCTTGCACTCGCCAACGCTAATTAGCCAATGATCGTGCGGCAATCCTCGGAGAAGGCCATCGAGGTCAGCGCTCATGCTTAATCAAAATTGCAAGGTGTAAACGCACGAGTAAGAGGCGTGGGTCTAATAAGCGCTGAAGCAAATGAAAACATCGCCGGACGGATCCGGCCAGGGCCCCGACCTCACCTTTTCAAAAGAGTCCGTGGTGGTGTTGTCGAGTCGCTTCGGCCACGAAGGTTACACGCAGCGTTACGACGCGCATGGCTACAATACCACAATACCGCTACCGTAGCCACCACTGCTGCGTTATCGTCGTGTGCACGCAGCTCTTGATTCGGGGGCACGGAGATCGAGCCCTGCCAAGCTCTCCCACTTTCTCTCTCTCTCTCTCTCTCTCTCTCTCGCTCACTCACACACACACACACACACTCTATCTATCTATCTATCTATCTATCTCCCTCGTCTTCACTGTCGCGTCCGTCGAGTGCGCACTCGTTCTAGTCACCGTGCCTGCGTCCCCGTCTTCCTCTCTCCCAATCGGCGACCAACTTCACCAACGGGAGCACGCACACTGACGATGCTTCGACCTGTGCACGCGCTATCCTCCACTTCTCCCTTGTGCTTTGTCTTTCGTCGACTGAGGTAAGAGCAAGACAGGGACTATGTTCTCGCCCTCGTCGTCGTCGTCGTCGTCGTCGTCGTCGTCGTAGTCGTCGTCGTTGTCGTTGTCGTTGTCGTTGTCGTCGTCGTCGTCGTTGTCTTTGTCGTCGCCGTCGACGCCGCCACCACCGTGCTCGTTCCTTTTATCGATTACTGCTCGCCAAACGCTTTTTCACTTCTACAACTGTAGATACTACTGTTGGCCCGGATACCTCTCAAAACTGACATTCGAAACAGTGGAACAGCACCACGAGCGTGTCCCTGACGTTATTTGTCCACCTCGTTCTCGCCCTGCAAGCAGGAAGACGCGAATGTATCGAGACTCGGCCGCGAGAGAATTATCCGTAGGATGAAAAGTTTCCTTTTTTTCTTTACTTCATTTCTCGCCCACTCCCCACCTATGAGTAACGCGTGCGAAATTTTATTTAAAGAATCGTCTCGAGAACGTAAGGCACGAGAGCATACGAGACAAGAGTAGACAAGCAAATGGGAAAAAGGCAGAGAGAGTAGCTAAGGAGATGTCGTGAATACCACTACTTGACTAAGAGAAATCGCATGCTCACCATTCCCCCTTGAGATTTCTTATACCTCTTTCTCAACCGGCGACTCTTTTCTCTTTGTATATTCTCCTCTCTCTCTCTCTCTCTCTCTCTCTCTCTCTCTCGCTCTCTCTCTTTCTTTCTCTTCGTTCTCTTCTTCAAACCCTAAGTCCGAATTAAATGTCTGATTAGTTATTATTTCCATTGTTTCCCGCTCATTTTTACGCGGCTAAGTGTTACTTCACAAGCAATGACAATTAACATGGAAGTGAAAATTAAAAAAAAATCGAGTGAAAGTTGGATGGAAATATCACGGGCGGATGTAAAAGACCAAACTACAAAATCGAATGAAATGTCCTTGTAGTTTGCGTACGTCGGGGATTTCAAAAGGCTGATACTTGAGGAACAATCTAACAATGAAAGCAAATAAGAGGGAAAAACAGGAAGAGAGAGAGAGAGAGAGAGAGAACAGAAATGAACACTAACAGTTGGTGCGACTCTTGGGGCACGCGCAAGTGGTAACAGGCGAGCTTCGCTCCGCCCGCTGCTAACGCTACTGTCACTCTCGTTGCTAGCGCTGTTGCCTTCACACTACTGTCGCTACTGTCTTTACTATTGCCTCTTGGTCTTTTACTGCTACTGATGCAATGTATGCAATAGCTAATGTTGATTATGACGATGGCGATGACGATGACGATGACCCTGCGATGATGTTCGTGTTACAGCTGCTGTTGCTGCTGTTGCTGATATTTGGAAACGAGCCAGCTAAGCGCCTTATATCTTGAATCACGCGTGGAAACCAACGCGTTGACTCGCTACCGCTACTACCCTGTACGGGGTTCGGCTTTTTCACGATACGCACAAGTGCGCGTGCGCGCGCGCGAACGCGAGGCCATACCTTCTATCGCTCGCGTGGCAGTCCGATACGAGCGATTACGGGGGCACGCACGGCTCTTTTCGTTTGCGACTGAGAAGTGTGACACGAGGGCGAGCGAGTCGGGAAGGGAGCAGCTCTTTTCCTTAGCGCCTCCTTGACCTTCCCACGCCCTTAGGTGCTCTTTCATGCCACCGTAACGACCTAGAGACAAATTCTCCCCAGTATGTCAAGCAACTATACAGTTTTACGATTACAATCGGAAAAAGTGCCTTAGGAGATATAAGCATACGTTAAAACACACATGCGCGCGCGCACACATATGCATAGACTCACGAAAGAGATATGAGCACGAGATAATTAATAGAGCAAAAAATAATTTGGCACATCAAACGATCGAATAAATGCAAAATATTAATTTTAATTTATGCGCTTTTAAAGGCTGTGAAATCCATTTGTTCAAGGTTTACTCTATGAAATTAAGCTTATCGAATTTTTATTTAAAAAATTTTTTTTATAAAATCTTAATCTTCATGTAGAAATCATATAAACTATCAAATCAATTATATAATCTTCGTGACAACAATAATTTTATATTAATATATTATTATATTGATTGTATTAGTTAATTTTCAAATTTATTGTTTAAAGTAGTCCTTGTTTCTGTTCAAATGATATTGTATAATAATTATATTACATTCTAAGAAATCTATCGATTGATTTTGTTTTTGCCAAAGATTTAAATGCTTTTTGATAATTTACATTGTGTATTTAATTAATGAAAATGTTATATATACTCTCTATTCGTTATTTATAATAGTCTAATATTTTTATCTTATGCCTGCCTATTAACTAAACTTTTGACATATTTCATTTTGTTTTAAAAGTTATTATATTAAACATAATTATATGTTAATTCTTGAATTTAATGAACAATATTTATTACATTTCCGTAAATATTATCAGAAAATTAATTGTTACAAAGCTTAATTGATGAACTTATCTTGAAAAAATTCACGACAAGAAATGTTAATTATAAAAAATTCATTATTTAAAATCTGTATACATTAGATATTTATTTTAAATTTAAATACTGATTACTTCACTATATTATTGTAAAGTATAAGTATCATGTAAAAAGTATCGTTTGGCTTTTACATGTAATGACTAAACATTAATAAATGCGATAGAAACAGAAATATTAAATACATAATCTATTATGTGGGCAATTGAGATTTACGAGAATGAAGAAAGTAAAGCTTTAAAATGGCTTAGTGCATTTTAATATAATTATTTACTTTATTTTAAAGACATTGTATCTAACAAATTTTTAAGTTAAAAGCCAAATGATATTTTAAAATTTGACAGTTTGAGTTTTTTTTTTTTTAAATGCACAGTATCTGCTACGTTCCTCCATTTAATGTAATATTAGTTTGAAGGATGTTTGTACATTCTTTATTTTAATCATAGTTCACATTATTAGGTTAGTTATGAGACAATTATGTACAAAAAATCATTTCATATATTCTTATAGAAAAACCATATTAAATGAAACATAAATGTTCATTTAATTTAAAGAACGCAATCAATCGCAATAAAAATTAATTAATTTTGCAATTCAATTAAAATTAAAAATAAATTTGACTAAAAAAATATATATTTCAGTATTTAATTTATTTCAGGTATCACTATAAAATATGATAAAATTTTTAACAGATTAAGATTTAAGAAAAATCATTAAAACTGTTAACTAATAATTAAAATAATGCTAATAATGAAAAGAAAAATGTGATGGTACGGTAAGTTATTTAAAGACATTTAGAAATATTTAAAAATGAAAGAGAAGGAAATCTTAGGGTAAGCTAGGGACGAAAGAAACTAGGATAGGAGAAGAAGGAGAAAAATCGAATTTGACATGCACGCAGACTGTGCAGGAAGTGATTTTATCTAAACGATAACTCTGAACTTGAAGCTCGCAAATTACGAGGTAAAACCAGAGCTCAATTGATTGCTCGACTTGAGCCACTCGCTCCTTCTTTTTTTTTCATTTTCTTTGCCCCTCTTCTTTTACTATTTTCAATCTTTAAACTTTACTTATTCAAACTTTTTCGATATATTTATCTCTTTCTCTCTGTTTTCCCTTTATCCCATTGTAACTCATTCGTATGTACAAAATACTCATCCATAGATAATTTATCGACGCTGTCAATTAGAATAGACAAATAAAAGTTACGAAGCAAAAAATTGATAATTCATTTAAAGTACTTTTATGAATGAATAATCGTTTTGTTCAAATAGTGTAAAATTTATTATAAGAGATATATACTTTCCGATAAATTATCTTCCTACTCCATCTAGATAATGACATTATTTGTAGGATTCTTCTATTATTCATTAACAATATATGTATTATTTTTATTTATAATTGATCGACCGATTTAATTATATACTTATATTCAGTGAGGATTATTAAAAACTATTAAATAAAAATATTTTAAAAATAATTTTACAATCTTCACGTTTAAATTCATAAGTGCCACTCTTTCATAATTAAAATTGATTTGATGAAACCTATTGTAATAATCGGTGTAAAATGATATATTTATTACTTTTTAATTCTTAACCTTTCGTTTGTAATATAATAGAATAGACGTTGAAATATATTTGACTAACAAGTTCCAAGGGTAATGTTATTAGTTACAAAATCAATGATTTCATTCTTCACAATTTTTACCTACATTTCATTTAAAAATATTATTATTATGACAAATAATAAATGTTGTTTCAAAATAATATCCTAGATAATTAATAAAATTTCGTTAACTAAAAAATTAATATTTTACATAGTTAGCAGATTTTATCGGGTATAACTATATTAAATTTATCTAAAAAGAATCTGTGGAGGTCGTATTAAGAATAATGATATTCGCATTAACATTTTACTGTTGATTTTAATAATAAATCGTGCTGACTTACAATTAGTTTAGCTACGATAAAATAAATTACAAATAGCTTCCTTTGAGCTAAAATATAATAGAAATTTTTTCAATTTATTTTCTTTTTTTTTTCTTTTACATTTTAACTGAATTATTTTCATTAATAATAACTATTTAGTTATTTTCCATTGCATCGAATCTTTCTCTTTTAAACATCTCTTTTAAACCATCATCTTTTAAGATTTTTTTAGAAACCGAGTATTAGACTTTTAATATCAATTTATTTTTTCATTTTTTATTTATTGTAGCATTAATTTATTACATACTATTTTTCTCTTGTATCAATTTTAAAGGTTTGAATTAAAATTACGTAATTGATGTCTGTTTATAAAATAAATAGCATGAAAAAAATTGATAAATTGTTTTTTCAAATATTTTCTATATTGAAATTATTTAACATATAATTATTGCGTATTTATATACATTAATGAATATAATTTTACATTTATTACTACTTTAATTTATGAAATTTTACAATACGTATAAAATTTTATAATTTTTCTATTGATTATACATTATTAATATTATTTGATTTAATTAAGCTATAATTAAATTCTTACTACATTAATAGCCCTTGATAATTATTTTGATCTATAAGCAAATGTTAAATATATAATTTCAACTTCACCTTCGAAAGTTTGTTATAAAAATTTTCATTTTATAGTTATACGTGTTTATTTATAAAAAAATTCTAAATTAATACGTTAAGATTAATCGATAATTATAATGAAATAACAATCGTCTAAAACAATTTAATATAATTATAAATAATAACGAGAAACAAAAATTAAAAAAGATAAAAATTATATGTGCTTTCATTAAATTATACAGAATATAAATAAAAACAAAAAAAAACAAAAAAAAAAGAAAAAGAAAAAAAAAACGTAAGATGCAGATAAAAACCATTAGTTTCTAAGAATGTAAGTAAAAAGGTCACAGACAACTGAAGTAAAATAAAAGTTAGTTCCAATTGTAAACGTTAGAATTTCAAATCTTTCGAGCTATTTAACGGTAATCTGTATTTATTTTCTATTTTGCCTTTGATAAATAAGAAACAAAATGTGATTATATATTATAAATTACATTTATGTATTATTTTAATAATTACATGAATATATACAATTTTACATAAATCATCAATAACTTACAAATAAGTCAATAAACAATACAAAACTTATAGAAAATCATAATAACTATAATAATGGAATTAGAATTGCTCGAGTATCCGAAATTGTAATAAAAATAAGTGTCGAAACGAAAAGCTTTATTAATAGAAAAATTTGTTATTAGAAAAAATCGACTCTAAATACACAAATCCAAAATTCATTGAGTAGTAACGTACACCCTCCATCAGCGCCCTTCTCCTTTTCCTGCAATTTGATATTGTTTACACATGATAGAAATATCATTTACTGTTTGCTCAAAGTGTCATTGGCGCCAAGTCACATGCACGTCGTCCGTGCGATATCTTTGCACGCAATTTGTTGCATTCCAGGCTGTACCGTGGCCCTCTGATTTAAATTGAAGCAGCCCAGCGACGGCAATCATCACTCCATTGTCAATGCAAAATCGCTCGTCTGTGGCGTAGAGCTTGGCCTTGCGTTCCTCACACATGACGCCCATCATTTCCTGGAGCCGCTCGTTGCAGCCGACACCTCCGACGATCAGCACTTCATCCGAGCCTACATGCGCCATTGCACGCTCTGAAAAATCGAAGGCTTGCGTTTATTAGTCCTACTTTTATTTATTGCTTATCATATAAATATTTATATTTCTGCCTTCTACCGAACATTTATTATCAGGACAAATCGAGCCCCGTCATTTTCTCATGTATATTCAACCATTTATCATCGATATTTCATACGGAATTTTATTCAGTCAACAATATTCTATTGGAGCGTTCAAAGTCTCATTAAAGAATAACGTTATCTTATATTATTTTTTAACCTTCTGTGATAGTCAAACGACCGTATTTATGGGATTTGATAATGCAATAAATGATTCTAAGTAAAGCCATTTTGAATTTACTATATTCTAATTTACTATACTTGAGTATACTATATTCTGTAGATCAATGCGATTTACAATAAAATTTTTATTCTATAGCATTATTCAAATATTTAAAAAATATCATTAAAAAATCTAATTATAATTGACAATAAGATATTATTCATTAGAAGTAATATATTAATTGATTTTAATTAAATATTTGATTAATCCTATTGAGTTTCTTGTATTTTGTATTGTAATTATGTAATTAAAGCTTATTAAATATTTAATTCAAAGTAATAATATTAAATAAATGAAAATTTACTTTTATTTATTATGCTGATATTATATTTTTTTATAAATAATCCTTTATTATTGCTTAAGCAATACAGAATTTGATGTATTTTATTAAATCTATAATAATGTTAAAAAATAAATAATAAATTTACTAGTAAATTCTTTGTTATGCAACAATTATATTAAATTTTAGAAAATGTAATTTAATATACACGTAGAATATTCGATATATAAATGCTCTCAATTAATAATCAAACAAGGATAAATCACAATGTATTATGCGCCATTACATTAATGACATTTAAATAAAATTTTTCAACCAATATTTGTTAATCAAACTATTTTATATATTTTTTTCTTTATAAAGTCGGTCAATTTATAATATATAGAAATACGACGATGAAGAAAAGAAGCAATAAATTTTAAAGAATTTTCTTTCCTGAGTTTAGAAACGATATTATTCATATAATTAAGTACTACCTATAAAGTAATGAATTTGTATTATTTATTTTAAGTAATTTAATACAATAATTACCTGTTATTTCAATTAACATTGCAAATATAGTTTCTTGCAATGAGAAACATAAATCTTCTACAGTGTATGCGTTTGATCGAAGCCAATTATTAATACGTTCTTCGGTATGAGTTAAAATCCCAGAAAATGACACATCCATTCCCTTAACAACATAAGGTAGTGGTATAAATTTTTTACCTCTACATAAAACAAGAAATTGTTAAATAAAGTATATAAACAATTTATTTTGAAAAAATTTTCAACTAACTTTTTTGCTAATTGTTCAATGTTATAGCCAGGACTAGGATCATTTGAAAGATTTAATAATCTTGCAAATCGATCTAAACAATTTCCAACAGCAATATCAATAGTCTCCCCAAATATTCTATATCTTTGTTGAGAATAAGCTATAACTTGAGTATTTCCACCAGAAACATATAATACAATTGGATTATTACTTTTAGTTATTAGTCTACCCATTTCTATATGACCCACACAGTGATTAACAGCAACTATTGGTTTATTATATAATTGTGCTATTGTTCGTGCTACAACTGCAGTCACTGATAAAGGAGCACCCATACCAGGACCTTTTGTATAACAAATTATATCTACACTTTTCATTGATAAATGTGCCTCCTTTAATGCTTTCTTGAGAAGTGGTAGAATGTGATTGCGATGGTGTTGTGCAGTTTCTTTAGGAAGAAATCCTAGATAAATAATACTATAATTATTATATAAATAAAAATATTTAATTAACTAGGTTAAAATTACCTTCACCAGGAGGAGTAATGTAAGTTTCTCTGACATTTGACAAAATTTCATCTTCTTTAATAATTCCTATACCTAATTTATTAGCACTACCTTCAAATCCAATAGCAATCATTTTTATTTATTTAGATATCAACGATTATGCAAAACAGTTGTATTAATGTTCATTAATTGTATATAAGATTTTAAACATATTTATGTATTATACACAAGAGAATATTATTTTTATTGATAGAGAATTTTTTACCGGTTATACGAATAGTTATTCATAAAGTAGAACTTCATTTGTAGGTTAGTAATTATTTACTTAACCATAGTTGAGTGATAAAATAAAGAAACAAGTAACAGATACATAAATCATACATATCAATACATAATAGATACTAATTATTAAATGCCAACAAATCTGTTTGAGATGTAGGAAATATGGATATTTTAAATATTTTAAATAGTATGAAATATCTATTCGCTTTTTAACCTATTTTCTTCGTCTGCCAGTTAAAGTCAACATTCAAAGTACTCCTGATTGAAATCAAATATAAACATAATTTACAGTAAAAATTCCTTTTTAGAATATTAAAATGGGTCTTCTGACAGATCCTAGAGCTGGCAATGGAGAAATAGCTAAATTAATTTTAAAATGGGAAAAACCACTTTGTTATTTACTCTATTTAGCTGGAATAATCTGGACAATGCTCTTAGCAGTACCGTATTTTAATGATAGTATGTATTACTTTATAAATTATTATAAAGTTTAATGTGTGTATTTATTTTGATATGCAGTATTAAATATAAGTAAATTGTTTTCTCAATCTTAGATACTTATTATTCAGAAAATGCTTTACTTCCTGGATTAGTAAAAAAGGAAAGTAATTTAATGTCTTCCGCAAAGCAATTTTATCATGAATTAAATGCAGAAAGGGAAAGATTTCCAGATAAAATGCCATATTTATGGCTATTAGCTAAATTACATCAATTACACCTTGATGTATTTACTCATAATTTTACATTGAACTATCCCTTTCGTAATCAAAAAGTATCTTTCAAAATTAATATTAACTAGTTACTCATTATATTTCACTTTTATTAATAATTTATTGTAAATGTTGTAGTATGAAGGTCAAAATATTTATGGTATTGTGAGAGCTCCGAGAGCTGCTAGCACTGAAGCAATAGTTGTAAGTGTACCTTATCGTCCAGTAACCAGTGTTCAACCAGATACTACACCTTCCATTGCATTAGTATTAGCATTTGCGCAATTTTGTCGTAGTATGTTTTTATTCTGACTTTATATTTTAAATTAACTAATTAGGATATTCATAAATATAAACACACAAAATTAGATTACTGTGTTAACAATTAGATATAAAATGTTTAAACCTTAAACATAAAAATTTACTTATGTGTTATAGGACAAAAGTATTGGGCAAAAGATATAATTTTCTTAATTACTGAACATGAACAATTAGGAATGCAAGCATGGCTAGATGCATATCACGAAGTAACGAGTGGTCATGAAGATGTACTTATTTCTGGGGATTTATCTGGTAGAGCCGGCTCTATTCAGGCAGCTATTAATTTAGAACTTCATTCGATGACTATTACATCTATCGACGTAAAAGTAATAAATTATATTATATATAATATTTAATTTTAGTAATTTTTATTATTGTCAGATAATTTTTTAAATTAGGTCGAAGGATTGAATGGCCAATTACCAAATTTAGATTTATTCAATTTAGCGCAAAATATGATTAATAAAGAAGGTATTCGTAGAAGTTTCCAACGTCGCTTTGACACATTTGAAAAAGATAAATTTAAAAAGTGGTTATATCATTTTAATACGTTAATGTCAATGTCGTTAACCCAAGCGACTGGTGTACCAACTGGGAATCATGGATTATTTCACAGGTGAAGCAATATTTGAACTATATAAACCATATAATATAAGTTTATACTTAAATTTTAATATTAAGTCTTTATTATATAGATTTGGTATAGAAGCAATATCGTTAGAAGGCTTTGATAACTCTAAAGAGGGAACTCAGCGAAATTTTTATCACGTTGGTCGTGTTATAGAGAGCATAATACGTTCTTTAAATAATTTGTTAGAGCGTTTTCATCAGTCATATTTCTTTTACTTACTTCCATGCACAGATAGATATATATCTATAGGTAATATCTACAAAGAAATTAGTAATACTGATCGAACTTTATAATTTCAATTATAATTTTTAGCTCTCTATATGCTTTCATTAGTTTTGATGGTCGCAGGACTATTTATAAAAGCATTTTCTATGTGGTTAAGATTGCAAGATTCGAGCGTAAAATCAAATAATGAAAATGAAACTGATAAAATAATAACAGAAAATGAAACAGTGAATAAATTTTTCTAAATGGAATAATAAAATAGTCTAATAAATACTTTAAATATATATTACTAATACTATTTTCTTTTAGATATCTGAAATAAGTGTTGGAAGTATAGCTTCAAAAATTTTGTGGACTCATACTATAGGATTTAGTTTGATGTCATCACCAAAATTTTTCACATTATTTATTACTCAGTATATAGGTTTATCAACCGAAGATGCAATATATTATAGTTTCTTAATAATTACAAAATTGTCAATTTTATGGACATTTTTTAATATAAGAAGGTATAATAATTTTATATATAAACAATTAAACTATATAAATATAAAATTATTAAAAAATATTAAAAAATATAAAATATATAAACAATTACAGAATATGTATAATATTGAGTAAAAGTTTATTTCATATTAATCTTTTGTTGACAGTAAATCGAAACATAGTAATATTGCACTTGTTTGTGTTGTAACATGTGTTGAACTTGGGACTGTCCTAATGTGTGTTGCCATGCACAATTTTTCCTTAGCATTAATTACAGCTTTCGTTTATGTACCTTTTATACTATCCATAAATCCAAAAAAAAAAACTTCTTATAGGCAAGTATTAGTATATTCTTTATTTTTGAAAACATATGTATTTATTTGAAAATTGATTTCATATTTTTGTCATAACTTGGAACTTATAGATTTAGAAAAATTTTATATCTTATGTGGCCGTTATTACATCCGTTCGTTTTAACATCCTTAGTTATATTGATTTATACCTTCATACATTTTGGAGATGAAGCAGTTACGTCTATACTAATCAGATCTCTAAATGCAACAAAGCAAGCTTTTGTACTCAGCATTATTGACTCTATGATCTACGGTAACTGGTTTTATAATGTTACAGTCGCTGTAATGTTTCCTATTTGGCTCTTATATTGGAACGTGATTTGCCAAAATACTCAATGAAGACTGTTTAGCTAATGACTAATAGATTAAGATAAAATTACTTTATGTAAAATGGATATTATGTAAAATAAAAATAATTTTTTACTAAAATGGGAGTTACTTTTATATTTATGGATTAAATTAAATTTGAATTAAATTATATTTATATTTAATAAAACAAAATAGCAATTTTCATAGAAATTATAATATATTGCCACTAGTTTCGTTTATAATAATTTTTAATTATATGTGTCAACTGAAATTATATAAATTTTGAAATATACGCGCATTACAGACATGAATTTATTATAACAAATTTTATAAATAAATTCATGAACATACATTACAAAACACCGAAGGTTAATTTTTATATCATATTTTCAAATTTTATTATGATTTTTGTATTAAATTTATATCTCAAATATAAGATTAAATGTTTTGCGGATATTTCTACTTATTCTTGTTAGTAGTACATAACAAATTCAGAAACAGTATGTAAATATTTCTAATTATATAAATATTTTCAAATGTCAAGGTTGTATATTAAAATTATGCTCATTTAATTCTAAATATATTAGATAAATTATTCTCGTCAGATTATGATTATATTATAATATAATTATATAATTTAATTATTATAATTATTATATTTATGATAATTTAATAGTATATTTGGCGTGACTATTAAATTGTAGAGTACATTTTGCTTCATAAAAGTAAAAGCGATCAAATTATTAAGTAGAAGAAAAGCATAATAATTGTAACTAAAAATTATTTGATAAATTAATTAATTTTATAAATTAATATTAATCATATTATAAATTGTTATAAATATAAATATTAAAGCCAACGGATATTTCAAGGCCATCATAGTATACTTTCATTGCCACATATTTATAGAATTTATATTAATTCTTTATTTTTATATAAATTCGGTCTTATTAATTCGAAATTGTATAAAATATTTATGGATTTAAAATAATAAATAATTTATTTAATAAATTTTCCAAGTAATATTTAATAATTTTCATCAACAAAAAGCTGAACTCTAATATATAATTTATTACTAGTGTTTCAAACTTGTAAAATTGACAATTATTATTATTATTATTACAATTACACATATAATAAACATGACCAATTCGACGAAAAGTTAACATTTAAAGAATAATTCTAAATTAGAAATATTTGTGCATTGTTTTCAATTTTTAGCAAAATTTTTAATTAGTTACATCGAATTTCTATTATTTATTATGTCATTTATTTTTAAATAAATTAAATTAACGTATATCATTTTATAAATAGTTAACGTTTAAATATTATGGAATGTATTTAAAAAGTGGAAGATAAGTATGGAAAAGGAGCCAGAAAGTATCTATTTATTTTCTTGTTTTGAAATGTACAAAACGAAATTACAATTTATCATATCGAGGAATTAACAATTTTAGATTTTATTATTCGATAACGTACACGATATTAAATTCTCATAATTTTATAGTTTCAATATATTGTTTTTAATGTTAAATACTATATATTAGTTACAAATTAAAATTTTCTCAACTGCTTATTACATAAAATATAGATTATATCAATTACCATAGTTTTTAATTAATTACTATACCACAATACCTATACAAACTCTAAGTTTATTCTTTATTTATTTATTAATTCTATTCTATCTCTTTATTTGATTACATATTATTATAAATTAAAATTAATTATATTTTTTAACTATATTTATAATAAATAATAACTATTTTTATAAAAGATTTTTTTATATAACTACTAGTACAATATGAAACAATAACGGACTTTGAGATATATTCTTTTACTAAAATTTTTTTTATATTTTAATTTAAAATTCATGTATTTATCATTGTTTTTTTGTAAACATTTACATCCTTTTTTTAATGCATATTTTCTATTTAAAATTTTTTATATATTAATTTTAAAATTCATACTTTTACATAATATTCTAAATTATATTATAATAACAAATTTGTAAATGTTAGCTTTTATTTTGATTAAAGATTTATAATTAAGATTATTAAATTTAATATTTTATTATTATAATATTATATTATAATATTATATTGTAAGAATATAATTTAATATTGTATTATAACAAAATTTAATATTTAAATATTACTGTGAATATTATTATTTTTTATGTTGAAAATTCGTTTAGAAAGTAATATGGGAGTATAATTTTTTTATGTAACGTGCAAGGATTTTTATACTGTAATTTAATCTTGGATATCCTATACGTGAGATTAAATTTTAACCATAATTTCGTAGTCTTGTTGAATTATTATCAAGTATTAATTTGTCATATGTTCAAGGAATATTTATTAATATGCAGAAATATTCATAAAATATTTAAGTAACTATCGTTGAAAAAGTTAAAAATAAATTATTATTTATTACATAAATAACATATTATATAAAACAAAATTCGTAACATTTCAAAATTCGATTGAAATATCTGTCGTTAATAAAATTTATCAATTATTGCTTTTTAGTATTATTAAATATATTTATTACTTTATAAACAATTATTTAAATCATTTGAATTAAATTTCATGAACGCAATTGAATATGTATACAAATATTTATTTCATAAAATAGGCATTGTAATTTATCATCATTAATTATTGTTAGAATTGAAATTAATTATTTATAAGTTGTATATTAATTGACTTGTACTGTTTTTAGTTTTCATATTTCTAAATCTATAATCTAATATCCATATTATAGCTAATCCTAATCTTTATATCTAAATACATATGCGTATGTTTTTCTAACATGCTAACTCCCCCTAACACATTAAATATTTCTTTTCCCCAGTGTAGTTCATTTGCTCTCCCACCTCGCATTATTCAAGTGGATAGGTGAACCAGTCATGCAAGTATCTTGAGTTGTTTATGGAATGGCTTATAATGAATGCCAATAATTGTACGTTGAAGTATCATATAGAGCAGTGCATTAAAAGAAGAAAAAACCGATATATAATCGATTATAATATCGTTTATTATTATAAATAGTTTTCGAAATGGAAATTAAATTTTATAAGTAGTTTAGAAATTCAATTAATATTCATATTTATTAAAAGCTGCATAAATATAAATATAAATTCAATTTTTAAACGTATTGAAGAACTGTGAAGTAAAAGTATATAAAATGGAGGTGAATAATAAAAATTATATGTCTACTGACGAAATATATAAAACTGATTCTCATCAATTAGAAGCAATAAACAATATTTTGGTTTTTTACGTCAATGGAATCATGGTAAAAATAAATAATTTTATTTTATGAATTTTATAAATAAATAGCTATTAACAAGTTTAACCTTAATTAAGTACATGACACTGGACAAAATAATTACACTGCACCGAAATAGTTCATGTAAAAGAAATTAAAATATTTTTTAATTTTTCAAAATTATTTGTCTTTAAATACCTACAGATTAATTATATTAAATATAACTTTTTATTTTTAAAGAAAGATCATATATCATATGGCTTAAATCATATATTTTGTATTTGTATTTCAAATTTTAAAAAATGTAACAACTATAATACATTATTTTAATCATTAATTTTAATCATTACATTATTTTAATAATCCAAAAATTCTAATGTATTTGTGTACTCAAAAAGAATTTAGGTATATATAAATTAAATTTATAATTCATTTCTATATTTAATAAATTAAAATGTATTAATCTTTTAACTGCGAGTAAAATCAACTTGATGATCAATTTCAGATCAATGACAGTAAAATTGAACCCGAATGGACATTAATTTATTATTTGCGAACTAAATGTATCCTTTTATATTTTCATATTTATCTACGGTCAATAACGAAGATAATAATTTTATCAAATAAATATTATTTTTCTTAAGTAACATAATACAGTAGGATTAACCGGCACAAAACAAGGATGTTCGGAAGGCGGCTGTGGAGCTTGCACAGTCATGGTATCAAAATATGATCGAGAACATAATAAGATAATGTATTCTTAATCGTTTCTATATATATATATATATATATATATGTATATTATGTTATATGATATGTTATTTCTAAGAAACTTATTGATCAATGCTATTATTATATCCGTTCATTCAATATATAAATATTAAATATTATTTTTGATTAGATAATTTGATGGACATAATTACATTCTGTATTTTATTAGAACTATTTTACCGATCAACTAGAATATATCTGTGAAAATTAATTATTGATATAATTCTATTAATAAAATAATTATAATAATTAATATTATATTGCGATTGCATTTTTCTTATATTAAAAAGGAATGCAATAAATTATAACATATAATGATAATAAAATATGTCAGTAAAATCTATATTTTTATTAATAATATATAATTGAGAATTCTTATATTATTATTTATTTCTTCTATTTTGGATACGTTTTATATATAAATGATTTAAAAAGTTATAAAAAGTTGTGAATTATACTTTGTTTTATTACGATTATATTAATTTAGGAAATCGTATATTTTAAAAATATGTTGTAATATTTTGATATTATATAATATATATTATATTATTTATATATATTATATTATATTATATATATATATATATATATATATATATATATATATATATATATAATATAATATATAATATATTAATATTATATATTAAATTTTAAATTTCATAAACTTACATAGCTTATACTTATAAATTTCTGTAGAATTCTTGAAAAAATTATTTTATGTACTAAATGGTCGTAATTCCTACATTTGACATTAACGTTTTTCCATAATAATTTACAATTTCTTATTGATAATAATATTAATAATGTATGTTAATAATAATAGTATGATTTTAATAGTTACTTAACTATGCTTATTTTTAAATAGAATTTTAATGTTGCGATTAATAATAGGTACGTTAAATAATTAAAATAAATAATTTTCATCTAAATTTTCTAAATATATTTAATTTAAAAAAGTAAGCAATAGCGATTATTTAAGATATGGTTAATTCTTAAAATTAAGAATTATATTTGATATATTTATAAATATATAAACATTATATAAACATATTATAGTAATTTGGCAGTAAATGCATGCTTAATGCCGATATGCGCAGTTCATGGTATGGCCGTTACTACCATAGAAGGTATTGGTAGTACCAGAACAAAACTTCACTCCATACAAGAGCGAATAGCAAAATCACACGGTTCGCAATGTGGTTTCTGTACTCCTGGTATCGTTATGTCAATGTATGCATTATTAAGAAGTAAATCAGATCTTAATATGAATGACATAAATATCGCATTTCAAGGTAAGTGATTCTTTCATACGTAAGGCATAAAAAAAACTTTTGTAGCACATATCATTTATATAATATCTTTACAATTATAGCAAACAGTATAATATTTTAATGCTCAAAATTAACTTTTAACATCATATTAAAAAAAAAATATTAATTTTATGTTGTGTTAGTTTTGAATATGTTATTATGTATTCCCGTTAGTATATATAATTATATATAAGGTAAATTAATACCGATATATCGAATAGAGTAAATACATCGAATATAATGAAATGTAATAAAATAATAAATGAAACTAAATGATTTGTGTAATTGATGTTTATTAAAGTGATATTTATACACATTTATTTATTTATTTAAATTTGTTACATTGATATTTTGTAAATTTATGCACATATGTATGTATATTAGATTTCAAATGACGTGTATCAATGCTGGAAATTTGTTAATACAATTAATTAGAGTAATTATGTGCAAAAATCCTTTCAGAATCGAGCTTTTTAATTTGTATCTTTCTTAAAATCTTAGTAATATGTCAAATATACTAAAGAGACATTGAATAAAAAATTATTACATTAGTACTAAATAAAATAGACGATAAATGTTAAGTTTTAAAGATATTGCATTCAACTACATTATATTATGTATGCATGTATTTTAAATCAAACTATATTTTGAAATCAAAATTTTTAAAATGTAATTATCGAATATAACTTTGTAATATTGAAATACTTTTAATTTTGTTGAATTTTCAATACAGTTTGAACAACAATTTTAATAATAGAAATGTTGCATTATTTTTACAATGTTTCATACTTATTATATAATACTACAATTTTTATTATACCGTAAATATTGAATTAATTTTTGTGGATGATATACAAATTCATGTTCATTTATATAAAATTACGTTTGTTATATAAATTTAAATTATAACCAAATATACAATATGTACAGGTAATTTATGCAGATGTACTGGATATCGACCTATTATAGAAGGATTGCGAACTTTTATCGATGATTCACAACAAAATAATACAACGGAAGAATTAAATTGTAAAGAATCAAAAGTTTGTTTTCTTGGCGATGCTTGTTGTAAAATGGCTTTTACATCAGTGCCAACTGAAATGCTAAGCTCCAAAAAATACATTCCATATGATCCTTCACAGGAACCAATTTTTCCTCCGCATTTACAAGTAATGCAATAAATTTCAATATATTAAAAATATTTACACTAAATAATTGACAATATGTTAGAATTTTTATAAAATGTTTAGTTATCATCAACTTTGGACAATGAATATTTGATTATAAAAGGAAAACAGACTAATTGGTTTAGGCCAATAAATTTAAAACAGCTTCTACTATTGAAAAATAGATATCCAAATGGAAAAATTGTAGTTGGTAATACAGAAGTAGGTAAGATTAACGATTTTTTGTAAATATGTATTTTATATATTTCATCTCTTTTTATTTTAAATACTTCTTATATTAAATACTTTTTTAAAAGGCGTTGAAGTAAAAGTAAAACATCTTACGTATCCTATACTTATTCATCCCATTCGTATTCATGAATTAAAAAAAATAGAAGAAACGGTTAATGTCATTATAATTGGAGCTGGTACAACACTGGTTGAGTTAGAATCGGCACTTCGACATCAAATACTTATGAAGCATGGTAAAGTAACTACAATTTTCATGTATTAATGCCTGTTGATGTGCGCATAAATAATAATAATTTTGTTAATTGCAATTGTAGAATCAAAGACCAGAATTTTTCAAAGTATCGTGAATTTATTACACTGCTTTGCTGGGATTCAAATACGAAATGTTGCGGTAAGTGTAATCATTACTTTAAATGAATATATTTACAATTACACTATCGATGATAGAATAATTTCGAATTTTATCACCATCTTAATAATATTTTTAAATATTTTCAATTAATATTGATTTTATGAGAACTTATAATATTTATGATATATTAAATATCATATCGATATTTTAATATTATCGTCGTCTTGTATTATACCAATTATTCTCTAATATTATTGATAAACAAATTTTTAACTAAAAATTACAATCCAATTTAGTCAATAGGTGGAAACATAATGACCGGAAGTCCGATTTCTGACTTAAATCCTATATTCTTGGCTGCAGGTGTGAAATTAAATTTATGTAGCATTAACTCTGGATATAGAACAGTTCAAATGGATCATACCTTTTTTACCGATTATAGAAGTAATATAGTACGACCCGATGAAGTATTAATATCAATTGAAATACCTTATAGTACTCAGGTAATTTGAAGTTATGAACAAATCATATAGTTTTTATTAAACATTAAAATTCACTAATATTGTATATAATTCATTCAGAATCAATATTTCATATCTTATAAACAATCTAAAAGACGAGATGATGATATAACAATTGTGAACATGGCGTTGAATGTTTTTATGAAAGAAAATTCTAACATTGTGGAAAAAGCATATTTGGCTTTTGGTGGGATGGCGCCCATTACTGTATTAGCAAAAAAAACCTGCGAAGCTTTAATTAATAAGTAACAAGGAGTATTATTTATATTATCATATATAATATAAAAATGAAATTAGTTTGATAATGAGTTTAAAACAATGTTCAATAGTTAATTTAGCTCTGTCGTAGTTCTCTTTGAGTTTTAATTTTTCGTCTAAATTAAAATTTTTTATTTTAATATTTTTCATATAACGATTTAAAATGCTTGATTCAGAAAATTCATAACGACAATATATTCATTAGATTTTTTTTACAGTTAATCCAAGCTTTTAATTCTATAGCAACACGTCAATTTAATGGTATTTTAATTAATTAATTCACAAGTGGTATATTTATAGTACCTTCAATTAAAATCTATGGTATCTAATGTAATATTGAATTTACGAAATAAATTAATAATTTATTTATTAATACATAGAAAGTGGACGGAAAGTCTTTTGGATAATATCGTCGATATCCTTATTGAAGAAATGCCTCTTCCTGGAGATGCACCTGGTGGTATGGTATTGTATCGACGTTCATTAACTGTCAGGTATCAAGTAGATAAATAAATATAATAATTAAACTACTGAATTATTTTATTATATTATTAATGTATTGTTATAAACTTAATAAGTATCATTAATAGTTGATATTATTTTATTACCTTTAGCTTATTCTTCAAAGCTTATGTGCATATATTAAGGCAATTATATAAGAATGTACCATCTGTAACATCGGTGCCGAAAGAGTTAAAATCCGCATCTGATTGTTTTCATTACAAACCTCCCAAGGGCTCTCAGTATTATCAAACGGTAAATTTATAATTTTAGTATATAATAATTTATAAATGGTAATATACATTAATGAGTTTGAAAATGGCTTATTAAATTATACAACTATAGTTTTATCATAAATTTAATTTGAATCCTTCTCATTTAAGTAATATTAAAAATTTGTTTATACGCTTTTCATACTATTTCTAAATAATGAAAAGTGTTCAATTAATTATTTAGGTATCTGAAGATCAGTCATCAATTGATTTGATTGGAAGACCGTTGATTCATGCCAGTGCATTTAAACAAGCAAGTGGAGAAGCTATTTACTGTGATGATATTGCGCGTTTCGAAGGCGAACTTTATTTAGCATTTATAATGTCAAAAAGTGCCCATGCAAGAATCATTAAAATTGATAAAGAAAAAGCTATGGATTTAGAAGGCATTGTGGCTTATTTTGATGCTAATGATATTCCCAAAAATCGTCGATATTTTGGTCCAATTTATAAAGATGAAGAGATTTTTGCATCGGAAATTGTAAAAATGAAATCAATAATATGCCTTAGCACGTATTGTATTTAATTCGAATAAAAATATTCTAATATTTTAGGTAAGTTGTCATGGTCAAATAATTGCAGCTATTGTAGCCACAAATCAAATCATTGCCCAAAAAGCTGCAAGAATGGTAAATGTTGAATACGAAGAACTTCAGCCTGTAATTTTAACTATCGAGGTATATTATTTTTACCATATATTTTCCTAATTAATACAAGATTGTTAAAATATATATAAATTTAAACACTATTAATAATTACTAAATCAATAATTACTAAATACTATGTTATAACTATATATCTATATAAAATTTATTTAAAAACTATTAAAAATTATTAAATATAATAATACATTGGTTTTAAAATATACCTTGATTTATTGAAGGATGCCATTAGAATGAACTCATTTTATCAAGAAGGCTACAAGCATTTCGATGTAGGCAATGTCGATGAAACATTTATTGAATCGGATCATATTTTAGAAGGGGAAATAAGAATAGGTGGGCAAGAACATTTTTATTTAGAAACACAGTGTACCATTGCAATACCAAAAGAAGAGAATGAAATAGAAATTTTCTCAGCAACGCAAGATCCTGCAATAACACAATCAACTGTCGCTCATATGCTCAATATTCCTATGAATAAAATTACCGTACGAGTTAAGAGATTAGGTGGTGCCTTTGGTGGCAAGGAAACGCGAAGTTTGCTCGTCACATTGCCAGTTGCATTGGCTGCACATAGGTATATAATATTAGACCTAAGAACAGTATAGTGAGAATAAATATGAACAGTAAAAGATGCTGTTATGAAATTATCAAAGTATAAACGTATTTATAATCGAACTTTTCAATGCAGTTTGCATAAGCCTGTAAGATGCACGTTGGACCGAGATGAAGATATGCTGCTAACTGGAACGAGACATCCTTTTTTATTTAAGTATAAAGTAGGCTTTACCGGCGATGGTATTATTAAAGTAATTGAAATTCATATTTATGCTAATGGAGGCAATTCTTTGGATTTATCCGTACCAGTGAGTGAAAAATTAAAAATTTTTTTTTTTTTAAATATTGCTTTATATGCATGAAATATAAACGACTCTCTAATGAAAAAGATTTGAAAAAAGTATGTGACTTTATTGAAAAAACTTTTTTTTTCACCACACATGTTCATTTCAATTAAGCTACGAATGCCAATACTAGCTAGCACTGAATATTTTCTACAGACAATTATTACAAAATATTATGTACATTAGAATAAGTTTCAAGCTCTATTACAACAAATTCTGAATTCACATAGGCTATGTTCCGTGCTATGACTCACATAGAGAATGCGTATAAAATACCAGCTCTTAGAATTTTTGAATATTTATGTAAAACCAATTTACCTTCAAATACTGCTTTTCGTGGTTTCGGCGCACCTCAAGCAATGTTTGCTAGTGAAACTATAATTCGACATATCGCAGATTATCTTAATCGAGATATTATAAAGGTAAGCAGTTTAATAATTTCAATTATTTAGAATATATTTGTAATTATATTTATTAAATTTATAGCTATCTGAAGTGAATTTATGTAAAGAAGGTCAAATAACATTTTATAATCAAAAACTCGAAAATTGCTCAATACAACGCTGTTGGAACGAATGTCTTGAATTTTCCAATTATAATCAGAGATTGGAATATATTAAAATATATAATAAGTAAGTAGTATCATATAATATAATACATTTTACAATTATTTTATTAATGTAACATTTCATCTCAGTTTTTGTAAATATTTTTAATTATTTTGGATATACTTTAGTTTAGTTATTATATAAGAAAAATAATATGAATTGACTATTAGGAGCATGGATAAGCTTTAATATGTGTATTTATTAATTGTATAGGTCGTTTGTTACATGAAACGCTTAAATTGTAAAAGAAATATGTAATAAATATTATAAAATGTTCTATTATTATGATAATATTTATGTAATTATGATTTTTTTACTGAAGTAGTTTATATTTTTGCTTTTATAATTATTTTGATTTATCTATGATTAATAATAAAGTTTGCAGTTTAAAAATTTATTCTTCTAACATTTGTTTTGCTTGATATGTACTTGTCAAATTTTTCAATGAACGTTAGCCGTTGCGGGGATGGTAATTGGTCTGTCATAAATAGCTCATTTAAAACATATAAAATATTACAGGAGCTTTTCAATTTTACAATGTTTTCATATAACGACGTCAATACATATTTCAAATCAATTTTTTTGTTTCTTTTAATTTGAAATATAACATTAAAAATAATTAATTATTTTGATATCTATATTAGTTTCTAATGTATAATATATCAATTTTAAGAAAGTAATTAATATAAATGTAATTTATAAAAAGTGAATGTCAATCTTATTATTTTCTAAGGGAACACAAATATAAAAAAAAAGGATTGTCAGTAGTACCAACAAAATTTGGAATAGCTTTTGAAACACTTTTTCTCAATCAAGGCGGAGCCCTTGTTCATGTTTATGTAGATGGTTCGGTTCTATTAACACACGGTGGAGTGGAAATGGGACAAGGAATTCATACTAAAATGATTCAGGTTTGTAGATGCTATGTATTTATGGATATCAATTGTTGATTTAAAAATTGTATGTAATAATTAATGAAGTGAAATATGACAGTTTTAAAACTATTAATTAATTGTATGTAAAAATGTTTAAAATAAAAAATTGAAATATATTTTTTTCATAAATTTTAGGTGGCCAGTAGAGTGCTAAAAGTAAATCCAAATAAAATACACGTAAGCGAGACGGTTACGGATAAAGTCCCAAATGCAACTGCAACTGCTGGAAGTACCGGATCTGACTTGAATGGAATGGCTATATTGGTTTGTTATACTATGTATTCATAAATACTAATTTTAAATAAATTTAATATACATATATATTAATATGAGATTGATTAACATTACATAATATATATATATATCATCCTTACATATAATATTATCGAGATTATTCTATATTTTTAGAATATACGAAACATTAAATTTTAGGATAAAATATTATCTATGTTTTTAAACAACGCTCATAACAATATTCTAATTTCTTATCCAAAAAATGAAAAAAAAATCTTTCAGGTCCGTTGTACTTCATTCGGAAAAATATGTTATCTCTTTATGTAGTAGTATGTTAATAATAACATAAAATACTTTATAAAATAATCATTACATTTAATTTTATTTCTATTTTATCTTTCAAGGTTTTTTTCTATCACAATCTTCAATTACAATTCAAATATTTTTTTATTGAATTTACTTTATTTTAGAATGCTTGCAACGAAATAATGAAACGAATTAAATATATAATAGATTCTAATCCAAATGGAACATGGGAAAGTTGGGTGGAAAAAGCATATTATGATAGAATTAGTCTTTCTGCAACAGGATTTTATCGCACACCAGATATAGGATATGATTTTGAAAAGAATACTGGCACTCTATTCGATTATTTTACATACGGAGCTGCTTGTAGTGAAGTAGAAATCGATTGTTTGACGGGCGATCATCAGGTAAAAGTTATATTTATCAAAAGAATAAAAAAAAATTATAGGCCACAGTCGTAAATATAATTAATAATAACATAGTTTTAGAATCATTATAAAAATTACATAATCATTATAAAATTTAAATATTTTTTCACAGTATGCAAATAATTGAAATTATTAGGTAACATATTAAAAAAAAACTTTATATATTATTTTATATTTACAAAGGATTTGATACATTGTTTTATTATTTTTTTTTTATGTAGATTCGAAAGAGAATATTATTTTCACTGAAGTAAATATTTTGAAATAGTTTTGTTATTATTCTATAACTTGTAACTTGCGTAAATTTTTATACAGATTATCACTTTTTTATTACTGCTTAAAAATATTTAAATATTATGAAAGTCGTAAGTTGTAGGATAATAATACTACTATAAGTATATATAAATAAATATCTTACTATTCGATTAATAATCACGAACAATAGGAGTTGAAATTAATTTTACTACTGAATTTATAAACTGCGATTTTTTTTACAGTATAACAATTTTAATATGACAATATTTTAAATGCAAAAATTCTGTAATAATTAGTATAATTTGTAATTATATAAATATACATGATTTAGTAAATAAACAGTGGGCAAAACGAGTGAAAAATTAATAAATTACTTTCATCGTAATGGGCTTAAATTATACATTCGCAATTATTAATAAACTAATTTCTTTTTTAATTGACATACCTTTACTTGCCAAATAAGGTCGACTAATGTAGTGTCAAAGGTAAAGAGGGTATGAGTGGAACCAGAAAGAACGAAATTTAAGAAGAACATTGATTAAACGGAATTATTCATTTTCTAGGTTTTACGAACTGATATTGTTATAGATTTAGGAGAAAGTTTAAATCCAGCTATTGATATTGGACAAGTAGAGGGTGCATTTATGCAAGGCTATGGACTTTTTACAATGGAAGAAATGATATATTCATCTACAGGAGTAATTTATAGTCGTGGTCCCGGAGCTTATAAAATTCCTGGATTTGCGGATATTCCTCAAGAATTTAATGTTTCATTATTAAAAGGAGTTTCTAATCCTAGAGCAGTGTATTCTTCGAAGGTAAAGCTGATGATTTTACTACTTTACTACTTTGGTGTAAGGGATTAGGCAGTAGTTGAAACAAATAAATTTCTAGGCTGTAGGAGAACCACCATTATTTTTAGCATCTTCTGTTTTTTTCGCAATCAAAGAAGCTATTAAAGCATCTCGAGCTGAAATGAATATTCATGGATATTTTAGATTAGATTCACCAGCAACTGCTGCTCGTATAAGGATGGCCTGTATCGATCCACTTATAAAAAAGGTAAGAAATTTAAAAGGTTATCGATGACAAGTTGCAAATATTTTAATTAATCTTTTGATTAACAATTGGATTAATTTAGATTGAAAACGGAGATGGAAAAAAAGCTTGGAATATAATCCCATGAATTGATAAACTACAACTTTATATTTACTAGAAAACTGTATCGCTATTAATCATATTATGGATTTAATATTAAATATGTAGAAATTGAATTTATTGTTTAATAAACTTATAATATAATCCACATTGTCGAGCTACTTACTTGAATACTAATCATGCACAGATTTAATAAAAATATATTATTTTATTGACATTTCAATTTAATATATATTGATTTGTTATAATATAATAAATATTGGACTTATATTTCCTGAATTGACGGACAAATTTCATACGTATACTTTTCTCCAAAAACGTTGGAATTCTAATGAATTACAACAATAACGATTAGTGACTACTGAAGATCTAGATATTCTTGGTTAATTTCTTCAAGTCTTCTTTACAATCCATGCCGACATCTATAAGATACAATGTATTTAACACGCTGCATTTGAAACATTTCGTGTTCATGTCATTAAAACTTTTTATGTTCGCTATTTTCATTCTGTATTTCATAATTATGTAAATGTAATCAAGTAGAATAAAACAACTAACGTAACAATGATATTAACAAAATACTAAATATGAAAGTACTATTAATGAATGAAATTTTTTTTGAAATTTTTATATTCTTTACAAATTAAATGATAACTAAAATTACAAAACTAAAATTTCTTAATAAATAAAATATTTTTTCGTTAAATCTTTACTTATAATTAATATACATTTAAATTCAAATAAAGGATAAAATCTTACTTTAAATAAAATAAATTTTTATTTTAAAAATCAGAGATTAAAGTAATTCAAAATCTATCTCTTAATATCAACAAATATTTTATATTGTATCATCGAAAAATTTAGCTTTTACAACATTATCATCATGCATAGATAATAAACTATAGTTTTATAACTCAATTAAGTACAATTAAGATTAAAATTAATTTAATTTAATTAGATTTATCAATTTGTAAATAATTTATGTTAATATTATAAATACACATAATTTTATAATGAACTCTCCATTTTATGTCGAGTAAGTGAAAATAAAGTTTTACTTAGGTAAACAATTGTCTGTAATGGATAATACGTTGATTATAAACCAATGCATTTTAATATAAGATTATTATTAAAGGAAATATGTTGTTTTTAAATGTTCGCAACTGCCAGAATCAATTCAACAGTATTTTAGAAAACTAATTTTCATTAGCGAGAACGAAATAGAAAAGTATTATATTATTATCAAATACATACATAATTTAAGTATATTAATTTTAAGAAAATAATCATTTTCGTAGATAAAAGATTCAATAAAATATTTTAAAATGCATCGATAAAATGTATCGATTGAAAGTTCAATAGTGAATAACAAATTGCTTGATTAGTACTTAAATTCTATTACCGTATAACGCATTATATATAAATCTAAAAGCATTATCTAAAATAATTTACATAAAAGTTGAAAATTCAGTCATACCAATGATCTATATATAGAGCACTCAAATTTCTATGCATTGAAATCTTGCTTCTTGAATAGTATAATATAGCAGACGAATATTCTCAAATGTTAATGGAGATAGTATAGAGATTAAAAAGTTTCTTTCTATTGAAAATATATATCTACTAATTAAAGAAGATTGAATAGATTGAAAAAACTTTGATTATTACAACTACGTATTTTGTAGATTGTAGATCGTAGATAATAGAGTGACTTATAAGTAAAACAGTTTTTAGAAATATGATTATGTAACAAAAATTAATACCTTCTGATAATAATCGCATCATAACTATAAATATTAAAAATTAAAAATTACTCTTAACATTTTAAACTCTGCTGTAAAACATGAAAGAATTTTTACATATGATTTTTTTGAGAAGAGGATTTAGGAAACGCGTGCAAGAACAAATAAAATTTGTATTTGTTCGTCAAAAACTGATAAATAGTATATCGATGATTACAGAGCAAATTTTTGGAGGGACAAGTATAGATTCGAATATATCGGTAGAATGACTATATAAAGTAAATATAGAAAACGAGTGAGTTAAAATGACGCTAGGAACATGATTTTCATTGCGGGTAAGACTTTTTATTTAAACGTTAGGAAGTAAAAAATTGTATATCGTTTAGCATTTTTTAGTATTATTAACAAATATTCATTAAATGAAAACTTTTCTTTAATACACAGTTTAATTAATTTAACATTTAATTTAATTTAATTTTATCATCTTGTTATTATAAATATATTTGAATTTTTCATTTGTACTTAAAATACTAATTTATTAGTTCCTAATAAATCGTTAAAAATATTATTTTTCTATATTCGCTAATATTTCGATTATATCATTTTTAATGAATGTAAATGACTTTCGTTAGCAAGTTTTCTATATTATAAGTATATATATTTATAATAAATCAAATTGCTCAAAAAAACAAAAAATAGTTTCATATTTTATGTGTTAAAATATATTCTGACATTTTCAGTATTATAATTGCTAGAAGAAATCCTCCATTCTTTTCATTGATGGGAAATTCATGTAAATATTAAATATTTTGTTATAATGTGCAAGTAAGTTGGAAGGTAATTATAATAAGTAAATATAACTCTTATATTTCGTTTGTTGAAAATTCGAAATTTTTAATTTTGTTTTATATTTACTTTGTTTACTTTGAGATTAAAATATTAATGATGTATTTTTCCATTTTGTCTCATTGTTTAAAGTCGTAAGAGCAAAGTGGGAAGATAAAACATATGTATCAATTTCATTTCATTACAACGTAATATATTTGTTTTTTAATGATTTCAAATGTCATTTTTACTTTTATATATATATATATATAAATTATATACATACTGCTTTCAATAAAATTTATATTTTATTTACTGCATTTTAAATCTGTTATTTCCCACGTCTTTTATTTTAATTATTCAACGTCTTCATTTCCGTTGGAATTAACGAAATATGCTATACAACAATATTTTATAATTTCAGTTTAAATGATTAAATTTAATATTTTTATGCTTAAAATTTTTAAATAATTATACCAAAATAGTTTTAAGTCCGTAAATTTATATAATATGTTAATGTAATTTTTACAGAAATTTTCAAGCTTACGTTGGTAAAACTAACAAATATACTTTGTCTCTGTCTATTAACAGTGATAAGATTCATGTTTGGTAAAGATAAAGCTATGATTATTAATCGTTATAAATTCTGTTTTATATTGGATTGTCGATAACTATTGTGAATATTTCTTTTAACTAGATAATGTTATTATAATTAAATTTAAATATACAAACAACAAGGGATTGAATAAAGTTTCAGTACATCGATAAAAAGTTTATTTGTCTAATTATTGGAAAGAACTAATGAGGTATAATATAAATACGTTTATTCCATTAATAATATGAATCTTTAAATTTAGTAATTGTAAATAAATTATGTAAAAATTCAAATTTTTAATTAAAAACAAAATATTGCTTATTCTTATAAAAACTTTTCAAAAACTTTTCTTATTAAAACTTTTTCTTCTCATTCATATAAAAAATTTATTTACATATATAAAGTCCATTACATTATTTTGTAAACTATATAGTATGAAATATATTCAACTTTTTTGTATAAAAAATTTTTTTATAATTTAATAAATCTTGATATTAAACTTTAATAATGCTTTTGAATTACGTAAAAGAGTAAATTCTGAAAAAATCAATTAAGTATGGCAACTAGTTAAATAACTTGTTTTCAAACTGGTTTTCATGTTATTCTTCAAATTTATCAATTATTATGAAACAAATTTTAAAAATTTAAACAAATTTTGAATAATAATATATAATATTATATATAGACGTATACAAAAATCTTCGTGCCACTATAGATTACACATAAAATATTTTGAACAATTATTTTTCCCAATATTCGAAAAGAATCAACTAAATTGATTAATTAATTAAAATCGATTAAATAAATAATCTTGTTGTAAGTATTATAAAAATTTATTTAAAAATTATTTTTAAAAACTATAAAAAATATTTAAATATTTAAAAATTTAACTTAGAAATAAATTTCAATATTTTCTATCTTTAAAACAAAGTATTTATAATTAAAATTGTGCGAAAAATTTGAATTATAATATAAAGCAAATTGAAATCAGTAAAATCTAAAATACTAATTTTTTTTTAATGATGTTTGTTTCAATAAGAAATATGCTGAACTAAAGAATTATAGAGTACATTTATTCGGTAATATTAATTTATTTGTAAATTAAGTATAATTAAAAAAAAATTTATATATATATATATATATATAATATATACATATCTTTATTTTATCCACAATATTTGTAATTTTACTAACTATGATTCAAATATAAATTATAATAGAATAAAATACGAGCATATGCACACACACACACACACACAGAGCCATACATGCGCGCGCGCGCACTCATACACATAGCGACACACTGAATGATTTATATTTTATATTAATTTATTTTATTATTTAAAAAAATTTTTCTTTTTCAATTACTATTTTAAACACAAATATATGGAAAATTAACCACACTGCAGATAGAAAATTCATTGCAATAATAGATATACTCGCTTATGCTTATATTACGTAAAATGCTGTGTAAGCAATTGCATCTGCGCATATTATTTCCCATTAATTATTGCTGTAGTTTCATTTATTTCTGTTTGTTATTATTTTAACTAGGCTTACCAAGCACTTCATACAAATTGCATTTTCATTTTTGTCTTTATAGTGTTATATATATATATATATATATATATATATATATATATATATATATCTCCTTTCCTCCACCAATGATTATCCCTTCTCTGATTTCCCGTCTATGGTCTATCTTATTTTAGACACACTTGTAACCGAAATGATATGAGCTTCTCTTTATACATAGCCAGTGTTGAACAACAAGTGTGTATAGTTAGAAGTATACAAAGTCGTGCGTTATAAGCTTATTGAGCACTAAATGGTATGTATTAAAGGATGTATTTGGCTTTATCAAAATATTGATTTTCTGTGTTTAGAAAAGTATTAATTATGTTGAAAAGTATTATTTTCACCAATTAAAAAAGACAACGTATTATGAGAGATCCTGCAGTGTCAGCTATTTTTGATACTTATACTTATCATTTTTTTATCTGTTTATGTACATTATTTTTCATTATGTATTTTACATGTATTTAATATTGTTTTTTAAATAGTGTTTTTTTTCATAAATTTAATTATATTTATGTATTTATTTCTCATTATTATTTTACAACTTAATATATGTTATAAACTTTAAGACTGTGTGATACTATAAACTTTATATAAAATAAGAAAAATTTAATTTTAATAAATTCAAGTATATTTATAAAGTATTTAAGTTAAACTACTACTCTCTTGCCATTAAAATTATCAAAATAATATAAAAATAGGAAAAGAAATTCATCAGCATTCAAATTAATTAAACAATTAAAATTGAATATGACATTCACGAAAAGATAAATAAAATTTATAGATAATATTGTTGATGTTGATTGAAAATAAATGTACTAATTAATTCGAAATAAATGACAAAAACAATATTAATATATAATTAAAAGAATAATGGAATAATTTAAGAAAAATAATTTTATATTATTCAATAATTAAAAAATGTTATTGGTGTTTACAATAATTGTTAATAAAATAGGAATATGAAGCATATATATGTTTAATATTTTCACTTTATTTATTGAAACTCGTTGTAATTCTGAAAACATTTCATGGTTTATATGTATATATATATATATATGTAATGAAAAGTATAATACAATCTATTATGATTTTATAATTATTAATTAGTGTAGATTTTTGTTAAGATGATTTCATTTTTTTTTCTATAATATATAAATGATTAAACTTATTTAAATTAAACTTCACTTAAAATATCAATAAGAAATTTAATAATATACTGTATTGTATTATTTTTACAGTGTAGAATATAAATAAAAGCAAAGATAAAATATAAAATTTTACATATTTATGGTTTCCAAAGAGAAATAAACTAGCTGAAAAAAAAACAAAACATACAAATCATGGACTCAGGAAACAAAAACAAAAGAAGTACTGAAGAGGATTGTAATCAAAATGAGCAGTCAAATATTAGCAATATTCTTATTTTTTATGTAAATGGCATAGAGGTATTTAAATATTTTATATTGGACAGCATATATATATTATTTTAATACGATATAAAAATTAATAAGTATTTAAAAAAAAGAAATGGTCCCTTGACTTAATTTGTTATATCAATAATATGTACCAGATCTACATCAACAATGTACGTGAAATTTATTCATACAATTTCAATGCTATAGAAATTTAAAAATAAAAACTATTATATCATTGTTAATATTTAAAATTTATTTTAAAAATTAAATTTTTGATAAATTTTAATTATATTATTATTTTATCTTTTATTTTTTTGTAAGATCAAATGTGTAAGGAAATGATAAAACACATAGCAATAGACCAAATAGAATACTGATAAATAGGATTACTTATATAACATATAAATATTAATAAAGACATTTAATATCTAATGGATAATAATTATTGACCAATAAAGTGTTTATTTAATTAAATTAGAATATTATGTGTTGACAATAGTGTTTTTTTAATAAGGAAAAAATTCGAGAATATAACATTTCAATATATATATTTTGCAAAGGTGGAATTATCATTTTATCAAATTAGTTATATAATGTTATGGATATATTACTATTTGAATATATTTATATGCTGATATAAAAAATTTATAAATATTTATAAAATTAAATTTATATATATTTTAAAAATTGCATGTTTTAAAAATTGATTATTAATTTCTGACGATCTAACAGCTAAACTCTCTCAAAAAAAATCAAGCTAATATTAACCTATCTTTGTTTGAAGGTATTACAATCTTACAAATGTTTGTAAATAACAATGCTTTTATTATTAAATAAATTAAAAAACTGTTCACAAATATAAAATATTATTTATATTACTTTAATTTAATAGATTTTTTAATATCATTTATTATACATAATTGTTTAAATGTATTATTTCGCTTTTATATTTAAATATTTAGATTTTTCTCTTACTAGAACTATATATTATTCTTAAATATATCTATAATTATTTTTTTTTTATTTATTTCCTTAACGTCCTTTTTTACTTCTTTGTATCAATCTCTTTATCTAGACATTAATTAATCATTAATATCATATAAATATATTTACATATATTCTCATATTATAGTTTTAAGTTAAGCAAAAACTTGTATAATAATTACATTATAATTATACTAGTAATAAATATTATACGAATATCTTTTTAGGTGATTGAAAAAAATGTTGACCCAATATGGACGCTAATTTATTATTTACGAAACAAATGTATCCTTTTTTCGTTTCAATTGCATGACAGCTAAAAGAAAAATGAAATATTTTAAACATATATAATTAAATGCTTAAATTATTACAATACAATTATTACAACTTAAATTATGAATGTGGATATTTGTTTACGATTAATTATTAATTATTAATTATTATTAATTATTATTTAAATTGAAAAATCAGTAACTAAATCTGTAAATCATTGTAATAATACTGTATTATATAATTGCAATTTATCTTAAAAAATATATTTTTAACTTTATTGATAATACGTATAAACATTCGTTTAGAATTATATACTTAAATTAATATTAATTTTTGTAATTTTATTTTAGCTGCATATTATTTCCATTGAATATCCATGCAAATAATTTACAATGTATGAAAATACTCTCGTGCATAATGTCGCGATTGTAATACATTCGAGTGAAAATCGATATCTAAATGATTCAGTAAATTAAAATATTAATATACTATATATATATATAATAGAATGTATATAATATAATAGAAACATTTTTTTAAGCAAATAAAATATTTTGATCCAAATTAAACATTTGGACTTGAAATGTATGTATTTTAACTTATTATAATGAATTAAGTAAAAGAATTTCTATTTAATGTAATGTGTAATATTTGACATTATTAATAATGACTAAATTAATTGTAAATTTTTTTAAAAATAATTATTTATATCCATAGGAGCAATTCAATATATTTTTCAAGTCGTCCGTATGTGATTTCTTATGTTTCTATTCAATTTTTTAAGATTAATAACTACTTATATATTAATTATTGGAAGTAATATTACAACAAAAAAAAAATCAAATAATTTTATTATATTTTAACAACTATAAAAATATCAATTATTTATTTTCACTTAGATTTTCCAATAATATATGAAAAAATATTCAAAACATATTACTTAATATCAAATAGATTTTCTCAGAAAATTTTTTAAATTCAATATGTTTCGTTAAAAAATCCAATTATATATTTTTTAATATAATAAAATAAAATATTAATAATTCACATGTTTATTTCAATACAAATATATGAATCTGAATAAAATAACATAGTATATTTAGTTGGTACAAAATTAGGTTGTGCAGAAGGAGGATGCGGTGCATGTACTGTAATGATATCAAAATATCACCGTTCTTCACATAAAATTATGTATCCTTTTTATAATAATAACGATGAAAACTGTGATTATAGTGATATTAAGAAATATAATAATACACGTTTGTTTTATTTTCTAATTGGATAAAATGCGTACATATAATGAAAAAAATATTATATAAAATTATTGGTAAATTGATTTTTCTATATACAAAGGTAATTTGTAGATTTTAAATTTCAAATAATTTAAATCATTAAATATTATAATTTTTATCAATAATACTGAAGGTGCTTATTCGAAATATTAAATTACAATATAATTCTAAGTATTAAATGAAGTTCTTATTACATTAGAGAAAATTACACGTGTAAATACTATTAGTAAAAATTCGCTTATTAATATAATTGATTCGTATTGAATTACTCAGCAATATTAATGCTCCACACTTGGAAGTGTTTGAATTGAAATTGAATAATACATATGTTTTAGGCTATTAATTAAATTAAAAAATATTTATACAACTAATATTATTATATCGATTTATCTTAGAAAAGAAAAAACCAAGATTAATCCGATTGTCAATTTTCAAAACCATCTCTACCTTACATGATAATTAGTCACATATCGGCAAATGCATGTTTAGTCCCAGTTTGTGCCTTGCATGGTATGGCCGTTACTACCATAGAAGGTATTGGTAGTACCAGAACAAAACTTCACTCCATACAAGAGCGAATAGCAAAATCACACGGTTCGCAATGTGGTTTCTGTACTCCTGGTATCGTTATGTCAATGTATGCATTATTAAGAAGTATGCCAAAGCCAACAATGAATGATTTAGAAGTTACTTTTCAAGGTTCGTTAATCATCATCTTAGTTATTAATCATACTTCAATTATATCTTTTTAATTTTATAACTCTATAATATTTTTATCATTTGATTACAATAATTCATTTTAAAATAAATATATTATAGTTTGGTATCAGTAGTATATTTCAAGCTTATAATATGATAGAAGAAAGAATTTCGCTTATACCAAACAATCGCAATTTTTACTTTTTCAAATCATATTATCTTGTCATTCTTCCTTTACTTTTCAGTACATTTTTCTTCCCCAATATTTTTACTTAATTTTTTATACATTGTATAAATATTTATTTCAATATGAATATTATATTACGCAGTATCATATAACATGACATTGAATAAATCAAAAAAATAATTTTTGTAATAGTATCAAAATGCATTATTAGAAGCACATTATTGCTACTTTATTCAATATCTCTTATTTATGACTCTATGGAGCTATTTAAGTTGCCATTTTATTTATCGAATCAAAATACAAATTAAAAAAATAACAATTCAGTCTTTTTCGATAATTATTAATTATTATTATGTTATGTTCATTACATATTACATAATAAAAAAAAAAGTTAATACGAAATATAATATATTGTTATGTCATTGAAGGTAATCTTTGTAGATGTACAGGATATAGACCGATTATAGATGGATTCAAAACTTATACCGAGGAATGGGAACAATCTCAAAGGATAGCGGAAATAAATGTCAATAGTAGTAGTGAAAAAGTTTGTTCAATGGGAGACTCTTGCTGTAAAAAATTGTTCACATCTGAGCCGACTGAACCTTTGAAATCAAAATTTTTACCATACGATTCTACTCAAGAACCAATATTTCCTCCAAAACTACAGGTAACTTAATATCAATGAACAAAATATCATGCTCATAAATTATTTTTAATTATTCACAATGATTGAATTACTAGTTAACAGATAAATACGATAACGAATATTTAATTTTGAAAGGAAAAGAGATTACTTGGTATAGGCCAACATGTTTGAAAGAGCTTCTGATATTGAAGCAGCAATTTCCAAACGCTAGAATCATCGTAGGAAATACAGAAGTTGGTATGGATTTTTAATTGTATTTCTTATAGCGATAAATAGAAGCCATATTGTTGTGGCACGTTAGCTTGAAGTAATAATTAATTATGTATAATATATATTTCATTATATTATAATAATATATATAATTATTATAATATATATTTCATTTGTATGCGTTATATTTCAATTTCATTAATTTAATTTTCTTATTATTTAATTGTCTTTATAATATTTAGGTATAGAAATGAAATTTAAGAATTTCATCTATCCAGCTGTGATTTCGCCTACGCAAATCAAAGAAATGCGAGAAGTAATCGAATTAGATAATGCAATAAAAATTGGTGCGAGTATAACTTTGACCGAAGTAGATGAGATATTCAGATGTCAAATAAAAACAAAACCTGGTAAATCACAATATTAAAATTAAAAAAAAAAATCATTTTTTATCATTGACATCATTGACATTAAATGTTTGTTTGAAAATTTTTCATTTTAGAATACAAGACAAGAATATTTAAAGTAGCCGTTGAAATTTTGCATTACTTTGCTGGCAAACAAATTAGAAATGTCGCTGTAAGTTTCTCATTGAATTAAAAATGATTAAGTATCATTCATTTACGACTTGCAAAAATAAATTTTTAAAAATACTTTGAACTAGGCGCTCGGGGGTAACATTATGACAGGAAGTCCGATATCCGATATGAATCCTGTATTAATGGCTGCAGATGTAACATTGAATGTTTGCAGTTTAGAAAGGGGTTACAGAAGAATTAAAATGGATCATACATTTTTTATAGGATATAGACGTAATATTATTGCTGCGGATGAGATATTAGTATCGATAGAAATTCCTTATTCAATATCAGTAATCAATCAATTTTGTATAATTACGTATTATGAATTATGTATTAAAGGTAAGATTGAATATTTTATTGAAATTAACATTTTTCAGAATCAATACTTCGTTGCTTATAAGCAAGCGAAACGAAGAGAGGATGACATTGCCATAGTTAATTTAGCTCTGACTGTCTTCTTCGAGAGTGGAACGAATATTATTGAAAAAAGTTTAATGGCTTTCGGTGGTATGGCGCCAACTACTATTTTAGCAAGAAAAACTTGTGAAGCTATGGTAGGACGGTAAATAAAATTTTTATTAAAACTTTATTTTATTATGGCTCATAATATGGAAAAATTATTTTTTTACAATATATGGTAAATCATATACCTTATGTAATAATTTGGCACTGAACTCTATGCATAACGAAATTAGTGAAATGGTAATTTCATTCTTTTCTTTTTTAATACGTATTTGTTGTATTTAGGAAATGGAATGAAGAAATCGTAGAATTTATTACAAATTTGCTTCTAGAAGAACTCCCACTATCTGGTGATGCTCCGGGCGGAATGATTTTATATCGTCGAGCTTTAACATTAAGGTATTGAAGATAAATATTTATATCGAATATGAATATAGTGATAAAATAAATATTATCTTTGTTGTTAAGTTTATTTTTTAAAGGTTTTGTACATATAATGAAGAGACTCAGGAACGACGTACTCGATTTAGAACCCTTGCCAAAAGAATTTGAATCTGCTGCCGAAGGCTTCTCCTATATTCCCCCGAAAAGCTCTCAATACTATCAAAGAGTACTATATTCTAATATTTTAACAAACATTAAATGAAATATTAAATTAAATATCACTGTATGCATAAATAATTAATGTATTTAGATTATTTCCAACGATAATTCAACTGATTTAGTTGGAAAGTCTACTATTCATGCTAGTGCCTTTAAACAAGCGACTGGAGAAGCCATATATTTGGATGATATGCCTAAAATAGTTGGAGAACTATATATGGCATTTGTACTGTCAACGAGAGCCCATGCAAAACTTATAAAAATTGATCCAACTGAAGCTCTTGTCATGGACGGGGTTGTAGCATTTTATGATGCGAATGACATACCAAAAGAAAGAAGATTCGTTGGCTCAATTGTTCATGACGATGAAGTATTCGTTTCCGAGCGGGTATATTAATATTAGAAAAGAAAAAAAAAATTAAATAAGTATATGCACACCGTAATATATTTAAATTTAAATTTAATTATAAAGGTAATAAAGTATATTAAACAGAATCGGCAGAATAAATAAAAATAAATACGAATAGAAGAAAAATCATAGATTGTCACTCTTTTTTTTTTCTTTTCTTTTTTCTACGCGAATCTTTCATTGAAATAACATATAAAACTATGCAAAACATTAAAAATTGCACCTTGTTTATTCAATATGAATGTTGTATGAACTATTAGTAGTGATAAATGCAATGGTGACGAACAATCGTATATTAGTTTCATGTATTATTATACATAGACAACTCATTTTCAAAAATAATATTAAAAAATTAAGCAACGTTTACATTTGATTTAAATTTCGAATAGGTAACGAGTCAAGGACAGATAATTGGAGCGATTGTAGCAAATGATCAGTTAACTGCTCAAAGAGCAGCTAAGATGGTGAAAGTAGAATATGATAATCTTGAACCAATTATAATATCGATCGAGGTATAAAAATTCAGCTATTAATCTTAAATGTTTCAATTAAAAGTTTTTATTTTTAGGACGCAATAAAAGCTAATTCTTTTTACGAAAGCGATAAAAAAATTATAGTAGGAGATGTTGACAAAGCATTTACAAATTCTCATCACGTGTTAGAGGGCGAAGTGAGAATTGGCGGTCAAGAACATTTTTACTTAGAGACACATTGTTCGCTTGCAATTCCACGCGAAGAAGACGAATTGGAAATTTTCTGTTCAACGCAACATCCTTCCGAAATTCAAAAGCTCGTTGCACATGTCCTTGATGTACACATTAATAGGATTAATGTTCGTGTAAAGAGAATAGGTGGTGGCTTTGGTGGGAAAGAATCTCGATCACAACTTGTTGCTTTGCCCGTCGCGTTTGCAGCTCATAGGTAACACATAATTCCGACGTTACTTTTGTAAAACATATGTTTTAGTACTTTTTAAAAATAATTTTATCAAGAAGTGATACAATATATTGATACTGCCATATCTTAAAACTTACAACGAGAAGAGAATAAGAAAATATTGAACATTAAAATATTACAAGTAAATTGTACATTATACTAATGATTATTTGTTTATTATGATAATAATATTTCTTTAATTAGTCATTACAATATTAATTATGTCATTATACATATATAGAAAAAAATGAGCATTATATCTAATGATAAAATGTTTATATAAAATTTATTTTTATGATCTAACAAGATGTTCATTGTTCAGTTTTGTAATGTTTACTTAATTATTTATATAATTTTTAATTTAAACTTCACCAAGTGGCTGCTTCAATACTATTGAAATTTGTCATTAAATTGTAACTCTCAGCATTTTAAAAATTATTTACTATGAAAATACTTGATAGAATTATGTTGAAAGTTAATTAATATAACACCGACTAAATGCATATACCAATGATGTAATTCATTAAATTTTTTTTCATCAGATTAAGAAAACCAGTGAGATGCATGTTAGATCGAGACGAAGATATGATGATGAGTGGAACAAGACATCCATTTCTGCATAAATATAAAGTCGGGTTTACCAACAATGGTTTAATCAATGCCATAGAAATTCATATTTACAGTAATGTTGGTTATTCCTTAGATCTCTCAACCTCTGTAAGCATACATACGATGGATTAAAAATGTTTATATCGTTCAATTTACATTTAATAATATTATATTCAAATAGGTTTTAGACCGTGCCATGTTTCATTTTGAAAATTCTTACAAAATACCCGCTGTTAAAGTTTATGGATACTTGTGCAAAACTAATTTACCATCTAATACAGCTTTTCGAGGTTTTGGCGGACCTCAAGGAATGTTTGCTGCTGAACATATTATTCGTCATATCGCAGATTATCTGGGCCGCGATGTTATTCAAGTACATTAGTAAATTTTATGAAACTAAATTAAATTTATGATAAATGTTTTTTTTATAAATATTTTTAATAAAGATTTCAGAAATGAATTTATACAAAGAAGGGGATGTAACTCACTATCAGCAAAAACTTGAAAATTGTACATTGAGACAATGTTGGACCGAATGTCTTGCTTCAGCAAACTATAAAGAACGAATAGAAAAAGTAGAGAAATTCAATAGGTAATTATTCAAATTATATCTTAATAATTCAAATTATAGTGCTCATATTGTATTCATTAAAAATTATTCACTATTTTAGAGAGCACAGATTCAGAAAAAGAGGTTTTGCTGTTGTGCCTACAAAATTTGGCATTTCATTTACAACACTTTTTTTAAATCAAAGTGCGGCACTCATTCACATATACACTGACGGCTCTGTACTTGTGAGTCACGGGGGTGTTGAAATGGGTCAAGGATTGCATACAAAAATGATTCAGGTTTTCAAGCCTATTATTGATTATTGTAATTTAACAATAAAATAATTACAATAATTTTATTTAATATTATAAAATTGATGCAGGTAGCTAGTCGAATTTTAAAAGTAAACCCAGATAAAATACACGTGTCTGAAACAGCCGTAGACAAAGTTCCAAATACTTCAGCAACAGCAGCTAGTGCAGGTTCAGATTTAAATGGAATGGCTGTTATGGTAATAAACAATATTTTGCATAATAAATTTTATGTATTACCACCGTCATTAATTTTATCTCTTTATAGAATGCATGCAAAGAAATTATGAATCGTATCCAATATATCATAGATTCTGATCCAAATGGAACGTGGGAAAAGTGGATAAATAAAGCTTATTTGGATAGAGTTAGTCTGTCGGCAACTGGATTTTATAAAACTCCCAATATAGGCTATAGTATGGCTACAAATACTGGAATGGTATTTAACTATTTTACATATGGCACTGCTTGTGCCGAGGTTGAAATTGATTGCCTTACCGGGGATCATCAGGTACAACATTACAATGCCTTTTTCATTCATTTTTTTTTTTTTTGGTTTTAGTTTGTATACAATTTCATATTATACATATGTATTGTACTTTGAAGGTTTTACAAATTGACATTGTAATGGATCTTGGAGAGAGTTTAAATCCAGCTATAGATATTGGTCAGGTAGAAGGTGGATTCATTCAAGGCTATGGATTATTTACTATGGAAGAAATGATTTATTCTCCAACAGGAATTCTTTTTAGTCGAGGTCCAGGAACTTATAAAATACCAGCATTTACAGATATTCCTTTAGAATTTAATGTATCATTATTAAAAGGAGTTTCTAATCCTAGAGCAGTGTTTTCATCAAAGGTAAAGCTGATAATTTTATTACTTTACTACTTTGGTGTAAGGGATTAGGCAGTAGTTGAAACAAATAAATTTCTAGGCTGTAGGAGAACCACCATTATTTTTAGCATCTTCTGTTTTTTTCGCAATCAAAGAAGCTATTAAAGCATCTCGAGCTGAAATGAATATTCATGGATATTTTAGATTAGATTCACCAGCAACTGCTGCTCGTATAAGGATGGCCTGTATCGATCCACTTATAAAAAAGGTAAGAAATTTAAAAGGTTATCGATGACAAGTTGCAAATATTTTAATTAATCTTTTGATTAACAATTGGGTTAATTTAGATTGAAAACGGAGATGGAAAAAAAGCTTGGAACATAGTGCCATAGAGACTATTATGTATAAAGATAAATATAACCATGTATTTACGTACATACATATTGTTTAATAAATATATATTATGTCTTATACTTTAAATAAAAAAATGAAATCTATTTTATTATCAAATTTTATGTAGTATTATGTACTTCTAACGTAGAAATATGAATTTATATACAATTTATGTACAATTCTTTAAATTACAATACCGTTGTATTATTTCTAATTTGTATTATTTACAATTAGTTATTAGTTATATTTAAATTAAACATTACTTATACCAGATTTTTCAACAGCTTCTAAAAGAGTTTGTAAATTTGTTTCAAAAAGTTCACAACGAATTGGCATTTCTAATGAATAAAAAGGGTTCTTCAATGCATAATCTGCATACAATTCGTATACTTTTTTTGATAAAATTTCCATTCCTGGCTGAGATGGTTCAGAAATAATCATAAATTTCACACCGGTTAAGGTTTGATAGCAATATAATCGAAAAGTGTCAGCTTCAAGTACTTCAATACCAGAGCATCTAGGTTCTGGACTAAGTTGACTTGCAATGGCAAAAAGTGGATAAAACATTGAGGCTAAGAAAATCTTTTCATTTGTAGTCATCTTTGATCGAGTAAATTTTAAGGTTATAGGAAAATTCTCAGACTTCTCAAGCATTTCTAAAACATTTCTACCATCTTCTAATTCTTTTGCAGTCACTGGTTGACCATTAACAGCTGCTAATACATGGCCCACTACAATTAAACGAAATTGTAAAGATTTTATTATATAAATAAATAAAAAGATTTCAAATCTTCATAAATTCAATTAAATTTAAAATGAACTACTATTATTTTATAAAATTAATATTTTATAATATTTGCATACGTTATTTTATAGTAATAATTCTAAATATTTAAATATTATACGATAATAAATTATTATTTTATGTATTTAATGACATACCATTTATTCCATCCCTTTGACCAAAGGATACAACTATTTTTTTATTCTCGTAAGTTAATTTAATATCAAGTGGATAATTGAAAACCTTTTCAATTTCAATTTTCGGAACATTGTGATCGTGATTAAAAATCAGGCCACCAGACTTAGAAACTATATAAACACCATAAATCACCATTTTGCAAATATATACAACTTTTTATATATTTTCTAAACAGTTCTATAGTCTATCTTAAGTTTACACCAACTTTATAATTAAATACACCAAGTGTTTCTAATACGATCGTGTTACACTGGAAACATTTAAAAAAATTTGGATATTGAACGAATGTCTTAATGGTTTATTAAAAATTACCTATTTAATATATATTTTATATGCACACGAAACCATACACACGAACTCACACACACACACACACACACCCATACACATATTCACGCGCGCGCGCGCGCGTCCAAATACACACACATAGGCATATATATATTACATTAAATAATTTAGCGATATTAAATAACAGTGTGTATATATAAGCTAATTATTTCTAGATAATAAATAATTAAATAATCAAATAGTTATTGTTCACTTGCCATTAGAAGGTTAACATTTATATGAAAGCTTAGTATTTCCACAGAATATTGGTCAGATTCAGTCAATGTCACTAAAAGGTGCGTTTACATTTAAATAAGAAATATTTGAATGTTAAAAGCTACCAGAATTTTTTTCAATTGACGAAAAATTCATATTAATTGAGTTTTCTTCAATTTTTAATTTCTATAAATATTAAAATTATAATTAATTGAATTTTTTTTAATATTTTAAGAATTAATTCGGACATTTGATGAATTCGATGTACATATATTTTTAAATGAAATATCTTCAAAACATATTTTAAAATACGATGAATGTAACCGAAAATATGAAATATTTTCAGTACGTAATTTATATGAAACATTTTTATGTTTTGAAAATAGCTGGAACAAGGAAAAAGTTATTTTTAATGTGATGTAATAAGTTTATTATACGTGAATTTTATCCATAAAAATTATTAATATTAAATTATGAATTTTTTCTGATAATACTTATTTTCAGTTTTTAAATGCTGTTTGAATTTGTTATTATTTTGAAATTTTTTATTAGTGTAACTACATGACTTAAAAAATTGCAAGTAAATAAAAATTTTTTTACATTCAGTATTTTTTAAAATACACAATAAAATATATAGTGATAATAAATATAAGCATTAATAATTAAATGCATTCATTTTTCAGCTATCAAACATAACCAACAAGACACAGTACGAAGGACAAACTCCAAACATAAGTAAAATATATTTTGAAAGTTTAGATATGATATTATTGAAAGATATTATATATTTTGTATGATTTAATAGTCTCATTGCTTATATTGAATTTATGATTATTCAAGAAAGTTAATAATATTTTATACGTTGCCTATATATTATTACAGGATTTTTATGATAATGTTGTTAATAATAATATTACTTGTGATGGATTAAAATTGGTTCAACTTGGCAAAACTTATAATTTATAAAATTATAATTATTAAAATTATAATTAAAATTATAAAATTAGTTCAACCTGGCAAAAGCTATAATTTAAGAAATTTAAAGAACATTGTAAATATTTAATTAAATCAATATTTTATTCAGAAAGATTAATTCAGCATTAGATTTAACATATATCCCGAATTTTATAATTATTTTAATTATTTCTACAATTTTGTATTTATTACTTTATTAAATATACTTTATCAAAAAAACAAAATATTTTAATATGTAAGTTTAATATAATAGGTATTTTTTGAAATCATCAAAATAAATTGAACAATTTATATACGATATTGGTAACTAATTTAATTGTTTTAAAATTTTACGAAATTTTGGAGATTTGTTGTGCTGCATGTGTAACATGGTATTATGACTTAATTAACTTACAATTACAACTATTGTATCAATTTTTCAACTTACACGTTAGTTTATATTTAGAACATTGAATTTATGCATTGTTATAGATAAAAATTTTATTTTATTGCAATTTAATTATTCCTTCTAATTATAATTTATAAGATTAAACTAATAAGTTTTCTATTAAACATTTCTTATAATTTTAATATTATGAGTAGTCATAATTCTTACAACCTTTTTGATAGAATGAGTTATGATCATACTAAATAATTGAAACAAGTATTATCCGTATTTATCAAGAAGTAATTACTACATAAGTATTTAAATATTATAAAATAACTAATTGCCAGTTGTAGGTGCAAATTAGAAATTGGAAATATTATATGAAGATATATTTCTAAATCGCTCATTATTATATAATATAGTTGAATCAAATAAAAGTTTGGTAATAATAGGTAGGTTTGTTGGAGAATTATAAAGTTATATGTAGATAATTATAATAAAAAGTAAAGAATTTTTTCAAAACAATCAATGTTTGAAATTTATGTATAAAAATTGAATAAAATGATTAGATTTTATAAGTAACATTGCTTAACTCAATTGTTCTCTTTATAAAATTTGTTCATATAATTAGCTAGAACTTGTGCATCCTCAAATGTTACAGCATTATAAAGTGATGCACGAATACCACCAACACTACGATGTCCTTTTAGTTGTAGCATATTGAGAGCAATAGCTCCAGCAACAAATGCATTTTCCAATTCTTCATTATTTTTTATTCTGAAGGGTATATTCATTCTACTTCGACAGTCTTTTTTAATAGGACAAAGGTAGAAGCCTTGCGATTCTTCTATTATATCATAAATAAGCTTACTTTTTTTGGAAGCCAGTATATTCATATTTTCTACTCCACCATTCTTATGAATCCATTCAAAAACTTGTCCAACAAAATAAATTCTAAAATGAAGTGAAATCAATAATATTTCATTCAATAATGATTATTAAAATAGTTAGTTGCAATTATTAAAATTTATGTTAACTCACTGAAAAACTGGTGGTGTATTATGAATAGAATTTTCTGCTGACACTACAGCAAAATCAAAGATGCTTGGACATATTGGCATTGCTGAACCAATAAAATCTTTCCGAACAATAACTACTGTAATACCAGCAGGTCCTACATTTTTTTGAGCTCCAGCAAATATTAAAGCAAACTAAAAATATAAATTTTTTTATTATAAAATATGACTTTTTTATACAAATTTCATATATACTTACTTTAGATATTTTTATAGGTTTTGATAGAAAATTTGATGACATATCAACTACTAAAGGAATTCCTTTTGTTTCTGGAATATCATGAAATTCAATACCTAAAAGTAATTCTTATTTGTAATAGTTTTGTAATATAATTATAATGATGCATATAATTATAATATAAATAACAATATTTAATTTTTTACGTTATCTTTTATATTATTATGCTTTTATTATGATTAGTAATTACATTAAAAAATTAATAACTAAATAAAAAAAGATCTTACCATGAATTGTTTCATTATCACAATAATAAACATAAGATGCATTTGGATTAAATGTCCAAGTAGATTTATTAGGAATTTCAGTATATGTCTTAGTAGGAGGTGTTACAAAATTTACTTTTCCATACTTAGAAGCTTCTTTTGCTGCTTTTGCTGACCATGTACCTAGAAATGACACATAAGACTATTAAAACAAACTTTGAATGAATGATGATAAGTAATGATGAATTACTAATTGACTTTAATGAACCTGTGACAATGTAATCAGCACTTCCAGTTGTCATCATATTAAGAGGGATTGCTGCAAAAAGTCCAGTTCCACCACCTTGTAGAAACATGACTTTGTAGTTTTCAGGAATGTTACTATAAATTGTAAATTAAAATAAAAATAATGTATACACAGATTTTTTAATTCTCCATTTAATATAAAATATTAAAGAATATAACAAATAATTCAAGTGTATTAATGAAAATTTTTCATGTCTTTAATTTTTTATTGATAAAATATAAAAAACTTGTTTTTATAATATTAAAAGGTGTCATTCGGATATGTTATAAAAATATTATATGTAAAAATTAAGAGTTACTGGCATTTATTTATACTTTTTTATAAGTAATGATATCAAGACTTTTATATATTATACATAATATTACATATTGTACAGTAAAATTTGTTTGTTTTATTATAAAATGTTTTACAATAATGAAAATATGCACATTAATAACGAACAATTTAAAAAAAATTTTCATATCTTCAAATTCAGTATGATATTGGGTTATGTGCTTTTGTTATAAATATTTTATATAATTATTTAAAAATAATAATAAAAGTTTAAATTATTTATATTGAATTTATATTAAAAAGCTTTTATTCACATTCGCATTAATTACATTAATTTAATTTATATTTACAATTAAAACAAAAATTTTATCGTAATTTGTTTAATCAATGGATATTTAAATAAATATTATTACAATTATGAAAAATTGAAATTCGTATTTATAATATTTATACATACGATATATGACAGTTTTTACTTAATATTCTTAATAAATAAATCTATCCTACTAACTATTAATAGAATTTTATTTCTTTAAAATATTATCGTGTGTATTATAAAAGTTAATCAATCTTGAAATTCACAATTTTTTTTTACAATTTTCAAAATTTAATATTCGGCATGTCTTGTGTATATATACAAATTGTATATATACAACTTTTTATGTATTAGCATTTTTACGTTAAATATTTTTCATTATTTCTGGCGAGGTGCTACTGATATAGAATTTATCTGTTATTAATTTTAATTATTTATAAGATTATAGTGAATATAAATAAGGGAAATTTACTTAATTTACATAAGAAATAATATAGTTAATTGATAATTAGCATATTGTTTTCGTTTATGTCTATATTTTTTATCTTTTTTAGTTTTAGTTTTAGGAAATAATATAATCTATCGATATTTTCTTCCAAATTTGAAGTTTTCAATTTGCATATTTTCGATTATTCATTTGATAAATGTTAAAAAATTTATATAAATTTAATAACCGATGTTTTACATTCAACATTTATAAATTCTTTATAATTAGAAATAGTTGTGAATTGTATTATTTATATACAGTTCGCATTGGACATTATTTATTTACAATTATAATTCCATAACTTAGGTTTATGGCACATTTAATAGTATATAATTAAGGTGATAATAATAATAATAATGACTGAGAACTGTAAAAATATATAATTTCTTATGTGCTTAATAATAATATACTTTGTTTTTTTAAATAAGAGAATTTAATGTATAGTCAATATATATATACATATTTATATATATATATAGATCATGTATATAAAATTAGAATACTTACAGAATCTCAGTAAGTCTTTTTTGTGCATTTTCAACTATTTTTTTGAAATCGTTAGATCGATGACTCATTTCCAAAATACTTATTTTTGAATTTCCATAAGATAGTAACTCATTTTGAACATCTTTTAGTACCTACAAGTATAAAATACTATTATTATTCTAATTTTGATTTTATAACTGTATTCTTCATTTTTCACAGAAAATATAGAAACATTATATTACGAAGACTTTAAATGGTCGTTCATATAAATTTATAAATAATTAAATAAGGAAAATTTTAAATTTATAAAGAGTTATATGTTAAGAAGTATAAGAAATATATATATATATATATATATATCTGTATACATTTCTTAGGAATATATGTAGGAATGTTTGATGAATTGATTTTCGAGTTATAGCATTTAAGATAATAATTAAATTTAACATATTTATATTTTTAATTTCTTATAATACATACTTACGAAAAAAATTATTAAGTATCATTAAGTTTTTTTTACCTCGAATGGAAGCTTTCCGGGACCGGCACCAAAATTAATAACTTTATTTGAAATTTTCTCACTCATTATCAAGTATTTTTATTTTATTTGCACTTAAACACAGCGAAATTTTGTTTCACTGATAATAATTTTCGCCATGCACACGTCTTATCACAAAAGCTAACAATTTGTTGTATTTTATAGTCTCGTAATTTTTTATCTAGATATTATATGATCTATAAAGATAAATCATATATATATATAAAAATATAAAAAAAGGTATAAACGTAAGGAGTCTTGGACACAAATTCTTAATAATGATAATAATAAATAATTCAAAGTTATTATTCGGTTTATGTTATACTGGAACGGAATCGAAAATAAGAGGCTTAATTTTCCAAGTGAGTGTCAGTGAAGGTTCCCCCATATGTCGATAGTGGTCTGACCAGCTTTCTTGTTGAAGATACGATGACTCCTTAACATATTTAAAGTTGAGAACCGTTTTCCTGACTCTACAATCATGTCTCAGATAGTGATAGTGAATATTCCATTTAGTAATATAAGCAATTTTCACTAGTAAAGATGTGCGGTTGTAAAATAAAGAAAGAATAATTATGGTCAAGAGTTTCAATAATTTTAAGTGTTTAAGCATATACATTTTAATAATTTGCAATATTCAAACAATGAGTCGTCTATTTATTATTTAATTCCAATTAAGTTCATTTCGGTATTTAATATATGTAAATATTTTCGCAATATCATATGTTATATTCAATATGTTATATATTGAATATAATCAAGTATATATTCAAGTTATGCGTATATCAACATTATTAAATTATAATACTTTTATAAGTATATAATATTAATTAACAAAAAATAACTTTTACATAAGTACTTATGATGATGGCAGTTGATATGTCTTTAACATTATTAAAATTTGTAACAAACAATTACATATATCATATTGAATTTTTATTTCGTATGATTTTCTTTAAATCTATCTTTTCAAATTATTTAAATATCTATTTCTTTTGATTCATACATCTATAATATATATAAATAAAATAACTGTCTATATATTTACTAAAAAAAAAACTTAAAAATTATTTTTAATTACTGTGACTGTTTCTTAGTTAAACAATCTTTATGTTTTACGAAATAATAAGATACTAAAATAATAAGAGTTTCTGTAAAATATCATATTGATATTTTTCATTATTTGATAATCACAGAACAATATAATCTTATATTAATATGTTGCAGTAATCAAACTTATTATATTTCAGTTAAATCTTTTATTATGTGTATTGTATGATAATTATATTATTTTTCATTTATCATTGCATAATTTTCTAAAATCATAAAAGTTTTGCCTTAGTTACTAAATCTAAGTATCCTGAGAATAATATAATAAATTATAGATAATTAAATAAATTTATTACGTTATATGAAAAATTACATATAAATTCTTGCTATTAAATGTATATTTGCAGGATGATTGTTTCATTCATTCGTGCATAATTTGTATGATATTTTGAAGTCTTTTATGTATTTTAATATAATAAAATATTGCTAAATCAAATGTATTTTTTTTTTTATTAATAAACATTACTGATAATAGTAAGACTAATAGGCTCATTTATAAATTAATACGTGCGAATGATCAAAAGCTTCAAAATTATTTAACTTCCACAAGTATATAATTATAATTAGTACTTACTAATATGTGTAATCTGTGAGTTGGGAATTTTTACGTATAACTTATTATGTGGAATAAATACCGAAAGAGTTTGTCCACACAATACAAAATTTTTTCTTAAATTGTCATTGGATTTTCAAAATATAATCTTATCAATGTTATATCATAAAAAATAATTATAATTATGTTCTATAAGTAAAATGTAATAAAAGTATATGGATACATATATTTAATCTCATTAAAGTTAAATAATATGTTCAATTAATGTAAAAAAAAAAAAAAAATTTTATTCAAATAAAATAGTATAACTAAATGTTTGACTTTTCTCAATTTTTTTCTAATGTTATGAAAATTTGTTTTTCTACAGTTACGTACAATTTTACGTACCTATCCCTTAAAATTATTATTAGTGTCTTAATAGTAATATAACTGTATTAAACTGTAACCATTCCAAAGAATATTTAAAATAAATGTCCTAGTCAATAAATACATTTTTATATAAGAATACCACTTAAAAAATTATTGAAAAATAGAAAGCAAATGATCGATATGTATATAATATATAAAAAGAAATTTAAAAATTGTTTTTGAAATTTTACTTAAAATTCTTTTGTCCGGCAAATTTCTTTTTATTCTTTTAAAAATCATAAATTTGCTGAATATAATGATATATTCCATTAAAAATATTAATACTTTATTAATTAGTTCACTAAGCCAATATAAATATAATTTTATGCCCTTATTTACTTATTGTAATTAAAACAATCTAATATAGCTTTATTTCATGTACATTACATTATTCTTATTTATATACTTATTAATTATTATTTATTTTTTGTATACAAAATAGTATGCATCTCTACGGTTATATAATTTCGAATCTGAAATATTTTTATCCATTTGTGTTTTTTAATATGTAACATGCAATGACATAGTCACTTACAATAGATACAGAGTTTAGTTTAAAGTGATAACATTTATAGTGTCAAATACTTCAGAATTGAATTAATATTAAAGAATTTTATATTAGCTTATCATTACATTACTAATTATTTTTATTTAATACTTTAAATGCTATTACTATTGGAAGACCTCAAATTTACATTTTTTATTGGCAATAATTAATGATTCACATGACCGAAGAATTTTTATTTATATTTTTTTAGTGAAAAATAAAACGTCGAACGTTTATGTTGACCCTCTCATTATCGATTAGTTTCGAACTTGTATATTGAATAGCCAATAAAAATTGAACATAAAAAAGATAAGAATTTGCAAAAAATTTTCTTAAAGCATAGATTAAATAAATCGTCGTCATTAAGAAATCTTACACTTTATTTATCGGATCAAATTTTTTCTTTTTTGTTCTTTTTTTTTCTTTTTTTTTTTATTATCTTTTTTCTATACGAAGTACTGTTTTATCATATCTTTCTGAGTTTTTAAAATAAGTGATGTATTAAATTAATTATGAGCAATAGTGATGGCACCACTGCGCGCGGCCTTGATTTTGCTTTCCGAGTGCGACCACCGAGCCTAGTGACCTTCCGTGCCCCCCAAATGTCAGTCAGTAGCCAACCGTAGATTTGCTAACATCTTCTGAAAGTGATTTTTGTCTTTTCTTACTCGATACTTATTAAATAAGGTAAAAAAAAAGTAGAATTAATATTCATTCAATAATTATCATAAGTATTATTTACCGGTGTGAAATTTTACGAAATTTTCATCATTATTCTAACGCAATCGTTCCGGTTATTAATTTAGTGCTACAGATCTGTTAAAATATATTCAAAATTTTATTATGTGTATTTCCGAATATTCACCAGTCTTAAAAATTCACTTTGCACTATTCTGCTGCAAATTTTGACAATTCGACTATTATAAATTTTTCCGGTGGTTTATTGTTAGTGCATTAAATTAATGATTATATTTAAGGAAAATACGATTATATTAGTATAGGAAATTATTAATTATTATATTATAAATTATTTTTTTCCTTCATTCGTTTATAACATTATTAAAAAATGAGTTAGAATAAAAATAAACATTAGAATTTTCGATTTACATTGTATAGAAAAATATAGTCTCTGATTAAATTTAATTCACTAACGAAAATTTTTATAATTGTCTAGAAAGTTTAGAGGTTATGCCGACTTTATGTACGTATATAAAAAAATTTAGATAACACTCGACGATAGTTTCATTCAAGTTGAATATTATTATGGGGTATGGCGTAATACGGAATTCAAATAGTAATGGTCTACATTAGAAGATATTAAAAGAATAATATTCAAATAATTTCGAAATATTACATGCTTCGGCATTGAAGAAATCACGTTTTTTTTTTTTTAGTACATTAGATTAATTTATGATATGCGCATGCTCCACAAGATCTTTAATAAAGTTTTTTGGTGGATCGCCGATTAAGCATTCACCTTCTGTTCCATTATCGAAATTATCATGGAAATTGGTAATCAAACGATCGGTGTAGTAAATTCTTAACGATTAGAAATATTTATCTTTGATAAATAATGATTTTCCTCTTAGAGATTATTTATAGGTGCGATAAGTTTATGTTTTAATTAAAAGCAATGATGTAGTTATGTGCTATTTTAAATCCGTATTTAGTAAGTTTATATTTTCATAAAATATATCATATTTAATATTACGTTATTTGATTAGAACGCAATGCGTAAAAATGACATATTCCCAATATATCTAGTTTGGTTAGATTAGTAATCATTCAAAATATATCAATACAAGAGTATTCTTTAATTATAGCATTAATCGAATGAATTATATAGTACCTTGAATAACATAATAATTTTTAAAACCTACGAAATATTTTTATATGAAAGTTTCCTAGTCAGCAACAATAGATTTTAAAATTGTATTGACTGTAAAAACTTCATAAAATGATATGGGTATTTGTTTAAAGTGATCAAAACTATTTTTATTTAGTTTTAGTACGTATTTTGTAATTACACTTATTCGTAATAAATAAGATATAATCAGCAAGTATAAAATTGGCGTTGGCTTAGTTCTAAAATATTCTTCTAAGCGAGCAACAATTGATTATAATAAACAATGACTTCAGAAAATAAATATATTTTTAATAAATTTCAGTTTGCTTTGCGTTTTAGAATTAATTTGTCTTTATATAATTTAAAAAATTTACATGTTTGAAATTATACAATGAATTACCAACGATTTTCGTATAAAATTATTTTTTTAACTCTTAAGTATATTTTTTCCTTACGATTTTCTAATTCTTAGGTAGACAATTATTTTATTAAATATTTCAATTAATTTTGATTGTGCATTATAGAACCAGGATATTTATTTGCATATATTTAAAAAGATTAATAATCTAATTAATTTTTTTTTTTTTGTATAATCTAATAATTTTTAGAGAGATATATTGATATTTATTTTTATTTAAATTTAATTTAAATGCATTTACATTTACAAGATTTTTATATCTAGAGGAATTTATGTCAAGGCTATTTTTTATACTAACAGCTTAAGAATTTTTAAATTCTAATCATTACATCTGGTAAAAAATTGTATTAATGACTTAAAATTATTTATGATATAATAAGAATGAACTCGGAAAGATTAATGTAACGTATAATTTTAATTTTTAATTTCACGTAAATATTATCGTAAAATAAATAATATGTTTATCATTACTAATGAATATCACGTAGTTCATTATAAATTAAATATTACAATAATTGATTCAATTAGAAAACCAATGTAATTTATAAAAACATCTTGATCAAATCGATGATTTTTCTTAGCTATACTTTTTATTGTCTATTCAATAAATGAAATTAACTACGTAGAACATATAAAACATCAAGATTGTTTATTATTATTATTATTATTATTATTATTATTATTATTATTATTATTATTAACGAGCCATAAGCTTTCAACGTCACAGATTTTGATATTAATTTGAAATTCTTCAAACAATTAAAAATAAATTAATATAAACAGTGAAATATTTAAAAAAGCAAAATCATCTTAAGTATTTAGTCAATTTCATTAGAAAAATTATTGATCATATTTAATTTAAAGAAATTATTAATAATTTAAAGAAATACATATTATTTTTAAATATTAAACCGAAATATTAAAAAATTATAATGGTATCGTTTCGTACACGGATAAGCAATTAAAAAGGAATAAAAGAATATATTGACAAATGTTGAGCCGGTATTTATTTTAAAATATAATAATTCATTGCATTATTTATATTTAGCACAATATAACGAATAACGATAAAGAAAAGGTAGTGGATTGTCTATGATCGCTAGATGATTAGTCTTCTAAACAATTAAAAAAATATAAAGCAATTGAAGTAGAATTGACTAGCCACTTACTGTTTCTGGAAGCTTATAACCTAAAAAATATGTTGCAGGAAATAAGATCTCGCCTCTAAATATTGGTTAGGTGCATATACAAAATGTGAATTATTAATATGGAAGAGAAAGACCATACACATATGCATAGAAATAAATAATAATCTTGAAGAGCTTGTGAGAAACATGTAATGATAAATTAACGTTTATAAAATTTTATAATGATTAATTCGGTTAAAATTTTTTATGTACGTGTATTATAATTCATTTATTACAGTTATTTATATGTATAATTAATACAAAAAAGTATTTAGAAAATAATTTTTGAAACATTTCTTATAATAGTTGTAGAAATCAAATATTTTATATTTCTATAAGCCATGTAGCTTGCCTTTGGACGCACGTGCGTTTTACGTGTATAAATGTGTAGGTGATATTTATCTAAGCATTTTGATTTTTTTACTTGCCCAAGAAAGTATTAGCATTATACAATACTTTTCCAAATATCTTAAATCTAATTAATAATTTTCAGAAACATTTTTTATAATGATGACAAAAATTGTCTATTCTTTAATATAAATTAAAAATATTATAAGCAAATTTTAGTTAAATTCTAGCTTTTCATAATAATAATGTCAAAAATTTATTAATAATTAAATTATTGAATTCCAAGAAAATTTGTAATACTAAAATTTAAAATTTCAGTAAATTGTTTAAATGAGAAGTTTCAAAATTTTATGTAAAATTTTATATAAAAAAGAATAATAAAAATTCAATATAAATTACGACAGTATTCCATTAAACAAGTTGAGTTTAATACAATAATTCTTTTGTGAGAGAACTTTAAATATTGCTGGCAAATGTTTTACATAAGTTTTTGTTAATTGTATAAAAATTAATTAAATGTGAAGTAATCAAAAGAATTTTATTTCATTTAAATTCTTTTTATATAATTTTATTTTGAATATATATATATATATATATTTATTTGTAGTTAATTTTTTAAATATTGCATAAATTTGTAATTTATTGTCAATTTACAATATTATACAGTTAATTTTATTGCGAAATACATCTTTTTTATCACATAAATATTCATTTATATTCCAAAAATCATATTTTGGATTATTAATGTGTTTATATTAATATATTTTTATATCGGTAGGAGAGGTACGTCATAACCAATTCTTAGAATTTTTTAATGGAGTAGTTCCTAATATATATATATATATATATATATATCAATCATAGGTTTGTTTAGTTTCAAATCTGGTTATAGAAAAGATATCTCTAAATTTGTTTTATAAATTAAATATATTATATATTATATCAACTACTTATATTTATTTTCGTTATTTATTATTTTTTATTATTCATTTAAATACGTGTTTTATATAATTAATTTAGAAAAAAATAAATTTTTCATTTATAGTCATAACGTTCAAATAAATGATTATTTGCATTAAATTTAATTATTTATTTAATTTATTATCAAAATGTTAAATTTGTAATGTTTAATTTTTTATTTTATTTAAAAAATTATCAATACATTTACAAGTTAATTAAACTGTTAGTGACTACGAAACACTATCTTAAAAGGAACAAAGATTTTCATCTTTTTCATTTTTTTTACATAAATTTACCACGAAATATTAATTGATTGCTTCAATATTTCAAATATAGTTATATTTTAAGAAGTATATAATATAATTACAAGATAATTAAGTATTATAAAAGGTCGTATCAATCAATATAAATAATAATAGTGTGTAGTATTTTTATATCAATAGAATTAATGAGGAGATTTAATACAGTATGATGTTTTTATGTATTTTAATTTCTTAACTAAGAATAATATATGATTATTTTTTATATAAAAACCGATATAATAGGAATTTTTATAAAAATTTAATTTTTTTGTAAAATAAATTCTAAAATACAAATGTCATGTCTGTAGTGGTCTTACGCTTATTTCATAAGGTAAGGAAAATATAATAAACAGTGATAGACATATGTACAAAGAGAATTTTGCATATGCGTTGCATGTGTGCGTGAGAGTGAAAGAGGGTGAAAGAGTGAGATGGCAGTGACAAAAATGACAGACAAGACGCATCATTGAAAAATTAAGGAACCGTCCATTATTTTTAACCCGGAAGCCGGCAATCCAATGCACTTTTTTTTTATTCATTATATAATGCACAACAATAGTTGCCTATCGCAATTCGCTCGCCGGCTTTCATCCTGTCAACAGAGTACGTTGAAGAAACAGAAGTCACTAATTCGTGTTTCCCCTTTATTTGTACAGCCCACCAAAATGGTCTGGATAACCGCAGATGATAAGGTAGATAGAAAATATAAAATGTAACCAACAAGAATTCAACATAGAAGCAACATTATTTCATTAATTTTCTCTTTTTGTTGTTTATAATTGTTTTTTTCTTATAATTTTGCCCTTTTTCCTACTTATCTTGTTACGTAACTAATTATGTGTTTTTGTATGTGTATAAAGATTCAGCATTTTTTTTTAGTTAGAGGCTTGATTATTTATGCATTGTTGAATACAGTGATTTTATTAAGTTTGCTATTTTGTGAAACAGTATTTATTTCTCTTTTCGATATTGAATCATTTTAGGTCTACATACACGTTGACATATATGTATATGTGTATTAGATTGTAGCTTTTAGCTTGTTTTCTTATAGAGTAATTATTTATTTTTATACAGCTTTATCAAAAATATGTGGATTATTCTTCAGTTGTCAGTAAAGTTTGGCGTGGTCTTAGCAATTACGTAGGTCATGTAATTACCATTTTTTTTTTCATCACATAAAGCAGCAGTCTTGTTGATCTCTTGACTGTTAATTAATTATTTATGTTATCTTAAAATATAAGCATGTATTTTATTTTATCGTTTATATATAAGCAAGTTTTATGTAAGCCTTTACATGAATAATTTTTTTATATTTGAAATAGTTCATATTTTATTTAAATTATGATTATAATTAATATAAAATTAAGTTGATGGAATATTTCTTAGTTTTTCAAAAACATATTTTTCTTTAACATAGTTTATGTATTATAACATTAATATTAATCAATTATCAAACTAGTTATTTTAAAAAGTTTATATGCCCATATATATATATATATATATGTATATATACTGTAATTCGACATCCGAAAAGACTATTTTAGAAGTGACATGTGCTGTATAGTTCGTGTCAGAGGCTTGTATTAAAAACTTAGCATGTAGAAGTTAGCCACGCATATTTAATTTAAAACATATAATTTACATTAAAATAAAATTTTATTTTATTTAATATATAATATAAATTTATATTTAATATTATAATATATTAATTAATATTATAATAATATATTTAATATTAATATAAATTTTATTTAATGGTAACATAATTTTCAATAAAATAATGATAGATTTTGAAAGTGTGTTTTAGGCAGAAAGTTTTTTAGTTGCTACGTATACAATAAAAGTTGATAAATGCTTTTTAATAAAATTTTATCATGTAAATGTAGCCAGAGGTATACAGCTTATTGTTGTGTAATTAAAATTGATTTACAACACTGCACGCCTTATTTGCTATAGGAAAATAAAAATGAAAATTATTTATTTTTATTCTTTATTAAAGTTCTTATACTAGAATATATAAGAAGCTCCGGCTTACCTAATAAAAAATTGTTTAATAATAGTTACAATTATTATATCCGATATAAATATGTAATCATCTATATTAATTTTACTTATCTAATCTCTTTATTTATACATTAAATTGGTCGTAACTAATTAATTTATATTTATACAAAATTTATTGTATTTTTTTACGTATATTTTATTTCATTTTACTTAATATTTTTTGGAACTCTTGCACTTAACAAACTGTATCTATTTTAGCTTGATTAATGCATGTATTTTTATGCTTTTATCCATGAATGTTATATAAATATATTTTTATCTAATAAATGTTATATCTATGCCAATATATAACTGTAGTGCATGTTAAAGTTATATGAATGTGTATTATAATTTTCTATTTCTTAATGATTTTTTAATATTATATAAATATGAAGATGAATTTTATGGTATACCATAACAATTTAATATAGAGTATTACAGAATTTTTACAAGAATACGGACACACGTTAAAAATATTTTTAAAATTGATGTTATGGTTTTATGTCAAATATATATAAATTTATATATCTATATACATTATATTAAAAAATAAATAAATAATTTTAATTATGATATAATTTAGTTATAATAATATATAAATATTAAGTTATAAAATACAAAAAATTTTAATAAGTCGTAATATATCGAGAATCAATTTTGTGCATACGAATGAGAGATAATCGAAGTAAATTACTGGAAATGAAATTATTATATAATGATGACAAGATAACACTAATAAAATAATTATTTTTTAAGTAAAAGTTTGAATAAATATATTTATTTTATGTTTAAATAATAATGAAGTTAAAACTGCAATTTTAATAATGGATGTGAATAAATTAAATATTTTATAAGCCAAATATCTTTTGATGTATTTCGAACATGATATATTATATAATTTATTATAAAATAAATGAAATAAAACTTGATACAAACATAGAAAATTAAATATAATTTATTTCACTTTGATGTTTTTTAAATGTATTTAAATGATTGGAATTAATTTTATTCAATACAAAACAAAATTGTAATGTTTAAATAATAAATAAATAATGTTAATTATAAAAAGTTTCTCTTTATGTAAATATTGCTTGTATTATGAAAATTAATATTCCCTTATCAGTACTTATCAATTATAATAAAAAAAAAAAAAAAATTACTTTGCAATATCGAATAGTTATATAATGTCTTTTTATGAATATTTATATCATAAATTAAAAGTTCAAGGTTGGTATTCTTATCTACGATTATGTATTTTAGTTAAGAAAAGGAAATAGATTGAGTATAATTTAACAAAATTTAAATAACTTATTTTCTAATATCATACTTTGTAATTATCATTTATAATAAAAATTTTAATTAAACGTGCATTATTTATATGATATTTATATATATATAAAATTTTAACTATATATATATATATATATATATAGTTAAAATTTTGTTTACTTTTTGTACGTTACATTTGAGTGATTTAATTATATTGACTTTAATTATTATCCATATATACGTATAGTGAAAATGCATTTGATCTAGGAATAATCTTGGTTTCGAATAAAAAAGTAAAACCTACATATTCATAATAATACTTTAATATTATTCGTATAATACAACATTTGTTTTAATTTTTTTTTTTTTTTTATTAACACTTGAAACTTGGTTTCTCTATTGTATTTAGTCGAACTTTATGTTTTTACATATCATTTATTTTCACATTACGTATTACCTATAGATGGCTACTAAGCCGAACTTCATTGGCATGAATGTCCAAAGTCATCTTGACCATATGTGCGCTCTTGACATCGAATCCCACACTTCCTTTACGCGGCTGTCCGGGATAATTTGCACGATTGGACCAGCCTCGCGATCTGTGGAGATGCTGGAGAAGATGATCGAGACCGGCATGAATATTGCCCGCATGAATTTCAGCCATGGATCGCATGAATATCACGCTGAAACTATTGCCAATGTTCGTCAAGCACAAAAAAATCTTAGTGAGAAGAATGGCCACAGTGTACCTGTTGCTATTGCTTTGGATACCAAAGGTCCGGAAATTAGAACTGGCCTACTTGAGGGGGTAATTTTATTTTTATTATTGGATTTTAAATATTCTTAAATACTTATTTTTATCTTATTTGCTGTATGAATTTGAATTGACGTTTGTTAATGTAATTATGGATAATAATCATTATAACAGTAATGTTTGATGTAATAGAAATAATAATTAATATATAATCACTTATTGCATTTTAATATTGAATTTGTAAATTAAACAATTAATTATAAAAAAAAAATTTATAATATATATATACATATTTTTTTAAATAAATATTGTAAATGTGAATAATATATTTTTATGTTAAATTAAAAATAAATATAAAACTAATGATCAAAATTTTTATTTTAATCGGTTATTTTAGATTTACGGCTTGATTTTCAATTTAGGAATTTCAATTAAAATTCAATGTAAATCAACTCTTTTCGTAAAAATCATTCATTTTATATTTAGGTCTGTTTAAAATGAAATTTTCATTCATTTTTATATAAAACTTCATATCTTTATAGCAGATGAAAAATCTAATATTTTTATTTTGTATTTTTTGTAGGATTAGAAAACTTTGTGTACCTTCAATAATGAAAATTTATTCAAATTGGAAAAACAATTAGTTTTCAAACTGAAAACATTTTTATAAAATCATAATATTAAATAAATTAGTTAATTATGTAATATTTCATTTTATTACAAATAAATAAAATGATGGCTTTAAAAATTTAATCAATGAAAATACCTTTTAGGGAGGCTCTGCAGAAGTAGAACTGAAAAAGGGTCAGGTTTTCAAGTTGTCATCGGATAAAATTCATGCGGAAAAAGGCAATGATAATTGTGTTTACGTTGACTATGAAAATATTACAAAAGTTTTGAAAGTTGGAAATAGAGTGTATGTTGACGATGGCTTGATATCATTGATCGTATCTGAGATTAGTAAGTATTCATTATATCTTGTACCAAAAATTAGTTGCCATAAAATTAGTATGCTTATTATTTATAAATGCTTAATATTTATAATGATTGTTATGTAATGAATCAATAGCAATAAATGTTTTTATTAAAGTGGTATTGATATATATCCTGCATATATATTTATACAACTTGTTTCGCTTTGTTCTAATAAAATGCTTATAATGGTTTATTAATCTGTTAGGATAACACACTAAGTTAATATACATTTAAATAAAGTATTTAAATAAACATAATAAATGCATTTCAATAATCTTAATTGTACATTAATAATCTTGGCATATAAATTATAAAATTAATAGTATAAAAGAGGATAAAGTTTTCCTGTAATTTGAAAAGTAAACTTAAAACATATTTGAATCAGTTATAAAACGTAAAATTATTTATTACAGAACCGAATTGTGTTATAACGACTGTCGAGAATGGTGGTCAACTTGGCTCTCGTAAAGGCGTAAATCTGCCCGGAGTCCCGGTTGATTTACCTGCCGTTTCAGAAAAAGATAAATTTGATTTAGAGTTCGGTGTTGATCAGGAAGTGGACATAGTATTTGCTTCATTTATTCGAAATGCTAATGCTTTATCCGAAATTCGCGCAATCCTTGGCGAGAAGGGAAAAAGCATTAAAATAATTTCCAAAATTGAAGATCAACAAGGCATGATCAATCTTGATGAAATTATTGAAGCCTCCGATGGTATTATGGTTGCTCGTGGTGATCTTGGAATCGAAATTCCACCAGAAAAAGTATTCCTAGCACAAAAGTGCATGATCAGTCGGTGTAACAAGGTTGGGAAGCCAGTCATTTGCGCTACTCAAATGCTGGAGTCTATGGTAAAGAAACCACGTGCAACACGAGCTGAATCGTCGGATGTTGCTAATGCAGTTTTAGATGGAGCTGACTGTGTCATGTTGTCTGGTAACTTTTTCATTTAACACAAGATTTGCAAATTTTATAAAATTGTTTAATATTAATTTGAAGATAAATTGATAGATTTTAATTAATCATATCAATTGAAATGTCATTATTCAGTTCATTTACAAATACTGCGATGCTCTCAAATACAAAATGAAAATAGAATAACAATTTGAATTACATATAAATAAGGAAACTTTAAATTTTGAATTTTTGAATTATTTTTAAATTGGAATATTATAACGAGTACCAGTATATGTTCAGGTGAAACTGCAAAAGGAGAATATCCTTTGGAGTGTGTACGAACAATGGCAAATATTTGCAAGGAAGCTGAAGCAGTGATTTGGCAAAACCAACTCTTTACTGATTTGTCAAGCAAGGCTGTACCACCGATTGATGCGACTCATGCAGTTGCTATTGCATCTGTTGAAGCAGCTGCAAAATGTCTTGCTAGCGCAATCATTGTCATTACTACTTCCGGACGATCTGCTCATCTAATTTCCAAGTACAGACCTCGATGTCCAATTATCGCTGTTACAAGGTTCCATCAAGTAGCTCGTCAAGCGCATCTTTATAGAGGAATTCTTCCTCTTCATTACACAGGTCAATATTGAAAATATTTATTTATTAAAAATGTTTCCAATTTGCTACTTACACATTAAATATATAAAATGTCAAAGGAGAATAAATTAAATCTGTCTTTTATATTACAAATTTACTTTTGACGAATTTTATTACAATTAATTATATTAACTAATTACTTTCATATTATTCCATCATTAATTATTTGAAATAATTAATTGTGTACAATGAAGTACTATTTGCAATTATATTGTTTTGCCAATTTTCTTTTCTTTTTTTTTATCAATTTTATATATTTTTTTTTTGTTTAATAAAAGGTAATATAATATTTTTTAATGCTTACAGAATTTTCATTTTTAAAAAAGCTAATGAATATTATATAACTGTAAAATAGCTCCATTATCTATTACATTTTAATCCACAGAAGCATCAATATCAGATTGGCTGAAGGATGTTGATATTCGTGTTCAGTATGGTCTCAACTTTGGTAAAAGTCGTGGTTTTATACAAACTGCAGATACGGTTATCATTGTTACTGGCTGGAAGCAAGGCTCCGGTTTTACAAATACTTTACGTATTGTGTACGTAGACCCAATTTTTACTGATTCATGTGATGTAGTTAGTGAAACTGATTCTGAAGAAGGATTTTATTAATTATTAATATATTTTTTATTATATACAAAGTATTTTCGAATTAAATATATTTTAATAATAAACAATGAAAAAAAAAACAAAACAAAAAATAAATAAATAAATAAAAACAATTAAAAAAAACAGGATGAAAAAAAGAAGAAAAAAAGAAGAAAAAACTATTGTATACAAATTTTAATATTAAATATAATTTATTGTTTTTTATGAAAATATAGTGTTTTACTGTGTTTAAATAATATTATTTTAATATAGCAAATTTTTTGTTATTGATATATTAATTAATATTTTTTTAACTTCTAGGAACGTCGAATGAGTCAATATCAGTATTTCAGGGTAGAAATACAAACAAATCCTGTGGATAGATGTATTAAATAATAAGATCATAAGTTCCAAAACACTGCTAATTTGTTCGTAATTGTACAGTATCTTTCGAATGCCAGTTACATAAGATATTAGAATATAGTTTTATTATCTTTACTAGTCCATTTTGATGCAATGCTCTTTTAATATCTTCAACTTCCAGTATTAATTTTTGGTTGATTGACTATACAAATACAGCATATCACGAAAGAAAAATACGAAAGATAATTATATTATCTAATATAAATGTAATATTTTAATGATAACACTACAGTACTATTGTCACAATGGTAATATTTTTATGATAAAGTTGAAAAATATAGTATCAAGATTGAATCTTGAACTATATAATAGTGACATCACTATTATTTATTAATTTAATCATTTTATCATCGATAAAGATTAAAAGTACTATTATTTAATTAATTAAACGGATTTTAATTTATATACATTATAAACAGGAAAAAAAAAGTTCAAATAAAAAAATATAAAAAAAAATATAAAAAATGTATTATAAATTATACTTTTATATTGATAAATAATAAATATACTATCAATACCACATTGTAATTTTTTTCCAATGACAATTAATATATATACATATCCATATATATATATATATATATATATTTCAAGAATAATACATTTTTAAAAAATGAATATAAATAAATGATAGGATTTGTAAACTTTGTCATTTATGATTGCAAATATATAATTTTTTAATATTTTTTATAGCATTTTTAATACTAATGCTGTATTAATATAATATTAATTTTTATTTTATTTTTATTTTTAAATTTTAAATTTTGCTATATTTTAAATAAATATGATTTCTTAATATTGATTGAATTGGATATATGAAAAATTATTTGCATTAATATTTATTTTTACAACTACATGTTTTTTATAAAAATTTTTGCAATATATTTATAATACAAATCTTATCACTATAAAATATTAATATTCAAAAGCAATAGTTGTATAAAATTTAATGATTGACAAATATTTTGCAAGATTTTTAATTTGTGTCTGGTAGTTTTAGCAGATTATTTTAGATAATTGCAAAACAAATTTTCAATTTTATTTTTTCTTTTCCGTTTTCTTTTAATTATAAAGTTTCAAGTAAAGAAAGCCAGATAATTAAACAATTCAATTGGTTACTTCATTTTATTATATAACTCAAAGTACACATTTTCATGTAGATTACAATTTATATTAGTTTGTATTTGTCTGTTTTCATTTATTCGTACATTTTATCGATAATCATTGATTTATTTTATATTAATTTATATATATTAAAACTCATTAAAATTATATGTATAATTAGAGTTAATTCATAAATCTAAATATCTTGTTTTTGTTCTTTATTGCCTTCTAGATGGCCTTTTAAATAATTAAGTTTCATAATTCCTGTTTATTTATATTTCTCAACTGATTTCCAATTTCAAGAAACTTGGTGATGGCCAATAATATAGGGATTTTTGTACATTGGTAGTGTTAATAGTAATTTAATTACTTGATAGATACTTCCATGTTTTTATTTATAACGTCTATTAAATTTTTAAATATTGAGTCTTATCGAGATTGCTTTAACTTATTTGTTTCTGTTTAATTTATATAATTTTTCAAAATATTATCTCATAATCAATAGATAATATCCGTCAATTAATGAGTGAAAAACCTTTACAGTATTAATGTGCAGATGAGCAATATAATGTCAAAATCTTATTTATTATAATTTTAGAATAACAATGTTGTGACATGTTCGTAAAACATTTACAAACTATTAAAAGCGGGAACATCTTTCGGTTTTTTATAATTTCCTGCAGAAATTCTAGTGGGACATTTTGATGAATTGAAACAAAAATAATTTTAAATAAGCAAGATTATTACATGATATGCACGTGTTCTTAGCATAGCGAGAATAAATTTAGTGTAATACGTGAGTTCTAATAAAATTTACTCAAGCGATAATATTTAATCTGTAGAAAACTCTTTTGTTCTTTGTATTGGTAATTGAGCCATAATCTATCTTCGATGATTCATAATGTTACGAATATTTATATTTATGCTTTTCAATGCTTAACGAATAAATGTATTATAATGTCAGCTTTAATCTAAAAGTAAAACATATAAAAATAAGATCGAATAAACATAAAATAAAATGCAATTTTCTTTTCTTATTCTATGTTGGTATTGCAGGGATACACAATCACCGAACATTATCATAGTTACAGAGGTGAATAATTAGTATATCCAATAGGATATTATCCTTCTAGAGGTAAATAGGAGTACTAAGTATTTAGGAAAATTAAAAACTTTTTATGCTTTATCAATTATAAAACTTGTATAAACAGTAATATTGATTATGATTTGTTATACAAATATAAATTTGATCATCTGATTTATAAATATGTTTTAGTAATTGATTGTTATTAAGTAATAATTAATCAATAATATGTATAACCATGGTAATTAAATATAATTAACACATAATGCTATAAGATGTAAAATACAATATTTAATTAAATGAAAATTCATACAGTTCATTGTTAAAAATCGGACATACATTTTCTTAATAATAATCTAGTTACTGTGTAGGTATTGTGGTGAAAACATTCTCTATCCTTCATATTTATTTATATAAATCTATTATATAATATATCTAATGATTTATACTATAAAATAAACTAATATAAAATTGAAATCTAATCCAATAGAGGTATTTTTTAAAATTATAATAATTTTTATATACATATCACAAGCTCTGAAATTCGACTTGATACTATTTAATTTATATTACGTAACTAAATATACATTTAAATATAAAATATATAATATTCTGTACATAAATCGTGTGAATAACTAATCTCATGTAATATTACAAAATATTATATTGCATTTTAAACTATACTAAAAATTCTTGATGCATAAATCCTTGTAAACGTAAATTAATTTTACAATAATTTAGTGAATTATTTAGCGAATATATATTATAATACTGACAAGAATTTCATATTTTGAATATGCTTAAATTGGCCTTGCTAAAGTTTTATTGTTAAAAGGCATATCTAAAAGCTAAATTTTGCTCAGTCAGCAGAGATATGTGCATCGCGTTTATCTAAAGATTTAATTAAAAGAAGAAAGGTCAAACTTTTATGTTCAGGCAAAACATTACTTGCATGCGACGTTTCAGAATGTTAGAGACTTCGTTAAGAATGATTCAATACGTGCACAAAGTATCTACATTTCTTCATTAACGACTACATAACTATTATTTATCTCGACATTAATAAATGAAAGTATAATGATATATTTGTAATGATATAAAATATAGAATTAAAAAAAAGTAAATTATAAAACTCTGTATTGGTGAACGTCAATTTTATAACGAATTGTTTTGCTTTAATAAATAACGAATATAATAAATAAATTGTTCACATGGTATGTGGAAAAACTAATTAAAAATTGAGAAAGTAAAATTAATTTTTATATTTACAAAATCATTCACAAAAGTTATTTTAAAAATTATTATCTAATTAATCATCTTTTTCATCTGTCTTTATCTGTTAAAAGATTTTTAGTATTCTTAAAGAGATAGTAACTACTATCAATTTAATACATCTGCCTTTTGTTATTTTTAACTTCTGGTTGATATTTCGAATGATCAGTGAAAAATATGTCAGTGTTGCGACGATCTAAATGTGACGAGAAGATGTGAATAGATAGTAACGGATATCGTCTCGTAGAGCTTGTTATCCTGAAGGACGATAGTACGATCATGCACAGTAAAACAAAGTTTGCACATATTCAATAAATTCTATCAAAATAAATCTATAAAAATGAGGCTAATATTATTAAAAAAACTTATTAACTGTAAATTTTGGTGTACATTTTCATTAATGATAGCTTGTTTTCGTTAATATTAGAATTATAATTAATTATTATTATTATTATGCATAAGTATTTCTAATTTTTATAGTAAATTTTTGTCGAAAATTTCATTTAAAATTATATTTATCTATTTATTATAATCTTAGTTGTCTTTAGAATTTAATAATTCTTTGATAATTAAAATGCGTTTGGAAAAGGTATATCTGTTGTAGAATTAAAACTTAAATGTTACTTTTATCGTTTATACAACTGTCCAATTTGTACACTTCTTTGGAGAATGTATGAAGCTATGTAATATAGCAAAATGCGTAACGTTGACTTTTAAACTGATTCTTCTAATTAAAAACCAAAAAATTCTAGGTATGATATATTGGTTTTTTATTTCAACATATAATTACGTATAATGAAATTGCTAGTACATTTTTATTCGAATACATACTTATAAAATGATAATTCTATAAAAGACTAATAGTTGCTTGAAATTTTATACTCTACTATTAATTATTTCTCGTAGACATTAAAGCATTTTTAATTAGAATTATTTGTTAATTTCGGATACGGCGACTGATAATCGGAAGATTTTCAATAACATTTTACATACCTTGACTCTAACTCTCTTCAATATAAAATAGAGTAAAAAAATATAATTCCTCCACGATGAATATTGTAATGATAAAAGGACAATTGTCTTATTAAAGAAATTCAACGTACACCGATTTTTATTGTATAATACATAAACGCTAGTTATTTGTTGCCTATATTTCATTATTCTTGGTAATTTAAAATTCTTATGTAATAATTAAGCCAATAAGTTTAATAATATCTAAGTATGTTACAAAAATATTTTATTTTGCATATCATTAATTTATCTCATTTAAAAATATTTGAAATATTCGTTTATTAAAATTAATATTTTCATTAAAAATTCAAAAATTTGTAGGGCATATTACAAGAAAATGATTACATTATTATATATCGATATTATCTAATGCATATGTTTAATGGGAAAATAATAATACGTTTTCTTATTTCTCCCATTATTTATCGAACAAATAAATAAATGTACAGATTTTTCAGATTAAAATATTAAAGAAAATTATATAGTCATTACATACGTATTTCGATT